ATATACGTTCTTTTGCCATAATTTGAAGTATTCCGACGAAATTGATTACTATAAAGACGCGGTCCTTGTGAGTTAAACCTAAAAGATAGACATATATTGTTGCGGACATTTCCTAGATTATTTAAAGAAGCATAAACCTTTTATACATATATTTTGGGTATCTTGAGTTGGGTAGTAGAATTATTAACAAAAAAAGAATTGTTCAATTCGAACCGATATGAGTAATCTGTTTGTTTCGAAACAAACAGTGTTAAGATGTTGTGTTATATTGTAGCTATTAATATTCTTTGTAGTATAGATTCAGACTGTACCACTCACGTAAACAGTGAAATGCACAGACAACTTAATATAGATGGTATCCTATAGCTTCGAAAAACAAAATGTCATTTCTTATTTCGTTCTCCGACTTTGCAGGGATATAATAAGCTACGATTACGTCGAGCCAAAGCCGAGTTCAAAGCAATATTCACGACTTGTAGACTCCTATCTCTTTTTGACTTGAGTAATCAGACCCCTTATCTCAGGATTTACTCATCAAGCTTGTATTTAAGATTTCTCGTGAACATGGAAATATTTAGAGGAGAATTAAAAGACCTTTCCTAGACTAATATGCATAGAAAATATATTACTATATTACACAACAGACTTTATTATATAAAGACCATCTTTAAGTGTCATATTACGAACAGCTCGTTACAGCTTGTGTATATTAAAAACGGCTATTTACTGGCTAATAATCTATTACAAAGATGGTATACGGGAAACCATCGATATACACTTCCAACAAAATAAACGGCTAACTAGTTTTTATGATGTAGACTAACTATAGATAGTTTCACCTACACGCAGGCGTTATACCATTATTTGATACAATTCGCAGTCACATATTAAAATACTTGTGCACAACGGAGTCACTAAAGTGTTCCCCAATGCGCCCCTCGTGCCCCTCTAGGTTTGAATCTTAATCTACCCCGATGGTCAAATAGCTGCTTCACCTTTGTCGACTTTGGACATTTTTAAGTTTGAACTTAGTGTCAAAAAGGGCACAAAGTGCAAAGTTTAGCACAACCCAAAATCGAACCGACGAAGAGCGAAGAGAGCACCACGGCGTTAAGTTACTACACCTATTAAAAGTGAACCGGCAACGAGGGTAGTTTTCGTTTTCGATTTTACGCTACAATGCTAGTTACATAATGTTCCACTTTGTATTCCAACATAGCGTAGGAAAAGTTTAAACGAATATTCGCGGTTACTTTGCTTATGCAGAGGTCCCTAGAACGAACAACTCGCCTTTGTAGTAGGAATTTGCGAAAATGTAGTAAACCACGCTTGTAATTAAAATATTTAGAATCTGAAACTCTTGAAGCTCACTAACGAATGGTCTTCAAACACTTTTAAAATGGTCGCACAAAGCGACTTGTGTTTATTCGGTGTTTACACAGACCGGGCTCTACTTTTGAAACGGCATTGTCTAATTTTCCCGTGTTTAAACTTTAATTATTCAACATAGACAACCGGAGGCGTGAACCTTTGTTATCCTCAATGTCACAAGTTTTCTAGACGAATGCTCGTTTTTCCTTTTTCATAATACCCAAAACAAAAAAAAATTGCTCATACAAAATTTAAGTTACAGTTCCTGTGAAATTATTTTGGATTGAATAAAAATGGTTCGAACCCACGACCATAGCATTCAGTGCTGTTACTTTACCGATGGCTAGAAGCTACCGTGATGATGGAACTGTCTTAATATTCAAATCTAAACTTTTATATAATCACTAATTATAAAAATATTATTACAATACTTAATTTAATTGCAAGTGATTCTTATAAAAATATCCTGACTTGAATAAAGAAATGGTCTAACTTCTCACAAAGAATCTTTCTAAAAGATCGGGTTTAACAGAGTGCAAAGGAAACGTTCACGTAGCACCTTTCCGTCGTCGAATTTTTCTAAGTACACTTCTGCCCGAGTTGGAACTGACACTTCAATAGGTTTATAATAAAGAACAAAGGAAGTTTGGAAACGTTAAAGAAATTAAATTTTCGCTCTGTAATTATTACCTTTTCAATATTCAAACTGGTATTCAGTACACATAGATATTAATAATAATAATTAAATAAACTAATATATAAATAATAAGCAAGTAATATATAAAAATAATAACCTTACTGCAAATAAAACGCCTTTAAAATTTAACCGCGTTAGATTAATTTGTCGTGTTCACAATTCTTAGAGTCTGGTCGAAAGGGAAGCCAGATAGATGTCCGTAGAATTTTATTTTATTCGCAAAAATGCTATTATCGATATGTTTTAAGGGACCTAAACAAATTGGTATCGCGTATCCCTTATGAAAAAATGTGAAACAGACTAAATTTGTATTCATTAATAAAGCAAGTCAATTTCAATGACATATTTTGTTTTAAATTCATAACTAGATATTAATGTTAGTAAATTATGTAAAAAAAGGAACAAAACTTTTATTGTTAATTGAATTGTATATATTTAGTTCTTATATATATGAATTAAGAAGACCAGTTCGATTTTTAAACCTATGATATAATCGTAAAAAAATGTCTTTCCCCGATAAAAAATAATTACTAACAAAATTAGTATAAGATTTCTTTTCTTGAATTCAGAATACTCCCTTTGTTATCAGAATAGACGTCCACTTGATTACACTTCACTATTCTCAGAACCTTAGAGGTTTGACGATAACGCGTTTCCAAAAGCCAATATAACCACGTCGACTTTGAAAGATATTAAAAAGCGATTCGAGGAAATACTAACCCGATTTCTTGTATCGGCGAGACGTTGAGGAATAACGAAGTATGAATTTATAAAACCGTTCCACCGTCCTTTTCTTATAGAAAAGTATTACTTGCACTTCAACGAATGCTAAGTTATATGTTATGTGTTATAATAGATTATGCAAATATCACCACTATCGTATTACAAATGCTAGGCTGATTTTAAAGATATGCCACCTAAAATATTTCTCAATCGGCAAAGGCAACTTAAAAATCTATTTAGATTGTAAAAAGTTACAAGGGCGACATTAAAACCGGCATCAACAGCGTTCCGTGCTGCTGCTCCAACCAATTGAACTACCGTGTCAGGTCTTGGATGTAGGTGCAACACTTATTAAGTAACAGGGCCATCTTTAAGTGATTATTAGTTTTTAACCGCAAATTATGCTATTTAAACTCATTTGTTATTTAAATATTGTCTGTAGTTCACACGAGTAGTACACAATGAAATAAAACACTTTAACGGTTTAAAACGCGATATATATTAGTAAAACTTATGTTATCTTCTACCGTGCGTTTCGGATGCTTTGCAGCAGCCGTGGTCACGAGGGAGCGTCTAAAATGTCCGGTCGTTGAAATAAATGTTATATTTGGCGTTTAAACCGTTAGAAGTCTTATATTTAAATAGTAATAACTTAAACGTGGCCGTGTTCCAATAAAAGTTACACCTTCATTGAAGAAGACCTTAGCCTAAATCCCACATAATAAAACATGCTCTAAATGTTGATACCTATACTAATATTATAAAGCTGAATACATGTTTTACATACATTGTTTGTTTTAACGCGCTAATCTCAAGAACTATTTGTTCGAATTAAAAAAAAAATGTTTGTTGGTTAGAGCATTTATTGAAGGCTTTCGGCTATAAAATATCAGGCTTCAACTAATAGGCGAAGAAGTAGTGGCAAATTCGGGGAGAGGGGGAAAATTATACAATGTGAAGTGCACTGCTAAAATAGTTCTTTAAACCATCTAAAATTATCCGCGACAATATATGTCTATCTTTTAAAATTAGCTAATATGGGTAACGGCTATATTTATAACTCATCTTTATAAACGAAAAGGTTTTACAAAAACTAATTTAACGCCCAAAATAACTATTGTACGCGGCCGAAGTCGCGGGAACAGTTAGTAACTTATAAGATTTCTACATAAGTGTTCCAAACTTCTAACTATAACTGATTGTTCCATTGAAGTAACTTTGAAACACGGACAAAGAAAAGTTTTTGGTCGCAAGATTTAGTGCCTCCTTTCATCAAGTATCAACACGCTTTGAGCTCGCAACCTACTTTGTAATTGTAGTACCAACTTGTTAGGAAGCTTTATACGCCTCTGTATTATACTTAACTCGTCTTGAAAATATTTCTGAGTTATTTAATAAGTTTTCAAAGTTTATGCCTTCATATTTAGAAAATATGGATCAAGGTTATTTTATTGCACTATATTGGTTCCCTTTGCAGTTTTTGTTTTTCACATTTTACAACAAACATAAGAATAACTTTACTCAAAATTCTTACAATCCATTACTAATATAATAAAGCTGAGAGTTTGTTTGTTTGAACGCGCTAATCTCAGGAACTACTGGGTCGAATTGAAAAATATTGTCTTGGTTAAAGTATTTCTTGAGGAAGGCTATATAGGCTAAAATGTACGCGCTGTAACATATAGGGAGCTAAGGAAGTTTTTTCCACCACCACGGTGGAAAAAACGGGGAAATTATTCGTCTTTATGGGTTTCCGACGCGTAAGAAATGTGTAAAAAAAATATTGCTCTATAAATGATCTAAAAAATGTCCGCGGCAGTATATTCTAAGATCATCTTTCAAGAACGACGGAATGTGGACGATGTCATGTGTGACCCATGACGTCGTCCACATCCCGTCGTTCTTGTTATAATTTATAAAAGATGAGGACGTTTGCAAAAACATATTTTGTTTTGAATAAAATGTGAATGTAGTGTCAACAAAATGTAATTCTACGCGAACGAAGTCACGAGCACAGCTAGTAGCTTATATAAAATAAAACTCAATTTTGATTTACATCATTTAATGGCATAAAATATCTACTTCTCTGTCCCATAAGAACATAATTTATAGCAACATCGTTCAATGCAATTTGTTAAGAGATTCAAACTGTAAAAACGGCTTACATAATTCTATGTAACTATGCTAAACTATATACTAAAAAATCTCCTCAGTTGTTATCTTCCAAATCCTGAAAAGCAAAAAACATAAAGTGGTTTTGAGTGATAGATCTGCGTTGCGATTTTGTAGTTGAGTTATAAAAATCAAAGTAGGGCGATAAATTTAATTAAAACATTTTAACTGTTTAAAACGCCATAAATATTAGTTAAACCTATTTATTATAGGTTTAACTAATATTTATAGGTTTAATTATTATGAAGTGTTTTATTTAAATGTGTACTACTCACGTAAACAGACAATATTTAATAAAATCTGAAAAGCGGGTAACTAGCGCAGTTCAGGTATACTCACAGTAGGATCGCAGTCGGCACAGTGCCAAGAGTAACCACGTTTTTTAGGATTCTTGTTCAACGGGGGCTCTAGACACGTGAAGTGATAGCGCTTCTGACACTCGTCACATCTGTGGAAGTCAAACATTTACTTAGAGCAGTGACGAACCTCGCGAAGCTTTTTGAGTCTGCCTGAAAGTACACAGTAGAGCTTTCCATGAGTTTCATGGAAAAGACTGCAGTTTCCTTGGTTTATATACTAGTACCAATACTTAATTCTAGTAAGTACAACAAGAAACAGAACATAACGCCGAAAAGAATTGATGAAACTAAAGACAAACGGCTGCTTTTTAGCTGAATGGCTATCTCTTCCGAGCAACAGCGGTAATGAAAATATAGTAAAACAGGTATGCTAATCAGTAGAAAAGCTACTAAGGCAATTCTAAATACAATCATGTCTAACGCAATATATTTGTTAAACTTATTTGAAAATTGTTTTTAACATGCAGAAGCCGTGGTCATGGGGAGACACTGTTTTAAACCGTTAAAGTGTTTTATTTAAATGTATACTACTCGCGTAAACTATAGACAGTATACAATCATCAGTACATGGCATTATTGTCGAAATAAAGATTGATCCGTTATTGTAGTGTGTACGACATAAATATATTAAATTATATCGAAAATGGCAATATATATCTACATATTTCCCATAATACACCTAAAGAAATGACAATAGTATATAAATCTAGTAGACAAACACGTTAAGCCGTATAGTAGCGTAAGTCATAAAACTATCAAAGTATTATTACAATTGTTTGTTTAGGTTTAGAATGAAAGCGTATAAACATAATGACACGCTGTCTTATATACGTTCAAACAAAGAGATAAAACACGCCACGTTATGCTATCCCAAGCGTGACAAGCGCCACTGACATGTGACAACATTCTCGAATATGACTTCGAGACATGTATAAGAGAGTCGTTTAATGGAAATAGAACAATAGATAAATGGAATAGAACAAAGAGAAATTAATTATTAAGAGTTGCAAGTAGGACTTCCAACTCTTAATAATTAATTTCTCTTATTCAGGATTGTCAACAAAAGAAATGAAATTGGAAACATTTCCTACCGAAGGGCATCGACTGATCTAAGTCTAAACAAAACACTTTTAACGGTTTAAAACGCGATATGTATTAGTTAAACATTACAAAAGGCGCAAGTTGTTATCAATGTTGTGAATCTAACTTGCATTTGACTTAACTTAATGGCTTGTTTGCGACTTTCTATTGTGTTTGTATTTGATTGTAAATCTTTTAAAGATATTATATATGATTGTTTTAACTTATTTTTAAACATAAATTATTTGTTATACGTTTTTTAGGATGCACCTTTATGTTATACACTTTATTCTTGCTATAAAATTGTATTCTTATGGTGGTATGTTATGTTTCTTTCTTGAATAAATGAATAAATATGATATTTTAACTGCCGCGTTTAAAACCGTTAATGTGTTTAATGTAAATGTCCCCTACTCGCATAAACTACAAACAGTTTCTGTGATAGTCATTCATAACTAGTATGGAATACACATATTATACTTATGTATGTAAATGTGCGTACAGTGCTCTCTAAACTTTTTGGCCGGGCTGAAGTTAGCGCGGATAGTTGCGCAGAACGCAAAAAGCAGGTATCAGGTGCGACAAAGGGGGTTCGCGGGTGCGGGGGGACTCGACTTTTCGCTTATAACTGACAGTACCATGCGCAAGATGGCGGTCGCGCTAACTTTAGTCCGGCCAAAAAGTTTGGAGAGAACTATAATAATATGTTAGTTACCTACTTGAACTAACTTGAACAAGTATATAATTTGAAGTGACATGTTGCAGACATTGAAGACGTATATTAACTGACCTGACTAAGTCTGTGTTGTCTCCCGGTTGCTGACAAACATCGCACTGAGTCAGTGGTGTTACTGCGCTCGGAACAACTGGCGCGCTGTTACCGCTACGTCGCATGCGACTCTCACGAGAACGCTATTCAAAGCAAGAATATAGAAAAAAAATTATGGTCATATTCAAAACAATTACGTTTACACATTGTTCTTATATATGATAACATATATTCGTTACATCTAATTTATTTAAGTGATAGAATAAATACCCCATAAATCAAAACAATTAGGTTGAATAAAATTTATGAAACGGGCGTGACTTGAGTCGGCACCTACAAAGATCCGTGCTGCTGCTTTAACCAATTAAGCTACCTGTCTCACACACAAAGTCGTATTTCTCTCACCCATTGATGTACCTCTCGCGCAATGTAATTGATTGATTTTATTTTATTATTTCAATTAGAGTTTAATTAATATACTGTCAGTATGATCAATGAAATGTAAAAAAAGCAGTAAAGATTAAAAATATACGACAATATATACGTTTATAAAAATTTCTCCGATTTGTGAAATATTTGAATTACAGAACAAGAGAGAGAGAAAAAATTACCTTAGGCTTGGTACTAGCAACTGTTGTTTCTTCAACAGTTTCCTCCGGTTTTGGCAGCTTGCATTTCAAACAATTAGATTTATACATTTTACTAATTTATTATTTACAAACTGTGCTCGCGATTTCGTCCGCGTATAATATTTATTTTATTTATTTTTGCAGACAACAACCACAGCTTTCTAAATTATAGCCCCCACGATGTCGTTTCGTCGTGTCATATCTGCAAGTTGATCTTAAAAAATACTTTTTCCACTTTACCCTTTCCTTCTTCGCTCCTATTGGTCGCAGCCTAATGTTTTATTATATAGGCCTTCCTCGATTCATGGTCCAACAAAAAAATAATAAAATTCGGACCAATAGTTCCTCAGATTACGGCGTTCACACAAACGAACTCTTCAGCTTTAGAATTATATATATAATATAATAATAGTATAGATCAACAATAATATGGCTGGCGTAGTCATAACTTACAGACGTGCTCGCAAGAGGATCCGGTACGGGTGTGACAGCAGATGGTATTGGAGCACTCGGTACTTCTGTCTCCACGGGCTAAATAAGGCAAAGACGTTGTTTATATACGAGACTGCTAGAGCCACAGCTTGATAAAAAAACAACATGATTTTTTAAAAGGAGAAAAATAAAAATGCGCAAATAACTTAGGCGCAAGTGAATTTGTAGTTGTTGATTTTGATGGTCATTGTGCTCTTGTAGGTTAACATTTTTAGACAATATAAAGTCAAGTCATACAACTGCAGTTAGGCTACTTTTGGCTCTAACGGCCTCATATAATAAGTAAAACAAATATTTATATGCTTCGTCCATCGAAGAACGCGTAAAATCCACTTGTGATGACGAAGAGTCGAGAACCATTTCTGACAAAGGTATGTTTACATCTTCTTTTTAAATTAAATCTAAAATATAAAACTGGCATATATAAACTTGTCATAACATTTACCTTGATTTTTTTGACAATGACCGGCGGTGGACCGTCGTTACTGTCAGTCGGCACGTAGAACATCTGTGTGTCGAGGGACCCATCGGGCTTTGGGATCGGCTTGATCTGTTTACAAAATAACACTGAGATGTGTAAAGAAGTATTTAAACACTTTAACGGTTTAAAACGCGATATATTCGTATATTAGTTGAAATTCCTTGATTATTCGTCTGCTGTAAATCAACATTTTTTTCAGGATAAACCGTTAGTGCTTTATTTTAATATGTTCTAATCGCGTTAACTACAGACAGTAATTAATCAATACTTCCTTATAATAAGTTAAAATATACTTAAAAGGTATGGGACTACTTCAAAATACAAGAGTTATTTTAAGTTATAGTTACTAATGCAATTAACAAAAAAAAGTATCATTTAGGGTATCAAATATAATGTCATAATGTTAATAATAATGAGGCTTTAATCAAGAGAAAAGAAACGAACACAAATACACGACAGAAATAGAGACACACAGTTTAAGAATTTTTATTTAATTAAAAGTAGAAACGTTACGCCTTACGTAATGAAGTGGTTTAGCCGAATATAAAAAATAGAAATACAAACCTTGATAGTGATCCTCGGGTGCGGCTGTTCCGGATTCTCCATGTCCTGAGTTTTCTTCTTCCTCTTATGCTTGTGCGATTTAGAAGGAGATCGGAGAAAATCTGGCGAGTAGCGAGACCTGTGCTTTTCCTTCCTGCGTTTCCTGTTCGCCTTGTAATTCGCAATATCTGATGATAGATTAGCGAGGGTGCTCTCGATGGAACTTTCGATGGTCTTAGAATCGCGGCTCTCCTTCTCATCGTTGAGCAGAGCTGAGAACGAGAGATTCTGCGTGTACGCCTCGTCTTTTTTCGGTGGCGGTATATTTGCTGAATCGTTTGACTGCTCGTTGTGAGAATCATAAGGACTATCCGCTACTATAGGTGTTATAGACATCAATGGAGTATTCGTAAGTATTGGCGAAGTGAAACTGCGCTTGTGAATTTTCTTAGCAGCGGCTTCGCTCTCGGAAACCGTGTGTTCCTTCCTGGAATTTCTCTTCTTTTCTTTTTTGCTCTTTACTTCATTCTCGTTACCATCGCTGCTGAATTCGAAGGGTTTTATCGTGACCTTTATGGGCGATATGTTTTCAGAAGAAGTACTGGTCTTTGGTTTATCCTTGTGCTTTTCTGGTTTCATTTTGGGTGTGGGTGAACTGGGTTTCGAGCCAGGACTCTGGGGTTCCGCTATGATAGCTCCATCTTTACTGTAGCGTATACGCGAACGACGTGGTACCTTCTTCTCTAATACTTCTGGTTCTGAATCTGACGTCTTGTCACATTCTGAACACTGCCTGCATACAAACAAAAAAAGTGATATAAAGCCTTAACTATTCTCAACTACGTATTAGATTTTAAGTTTATCTGTTGTCGATAGTTAAATATTATTATGATTAGTTTACCATCCATAAAGCTTGCTTTTCTTAGGCGGACGCTGAAGTGGGGGACGAAGACAGTGCAAATGGTAATGGTGATGACACGTGTCACACGCAGCCATCAAATGCTGGGAGCTGCTACGGGCACACACTGCACACTCGCGCGCAGCCACGCTGCCGCTCTCGCGTGACGCTGTATTTTTTAATGAGTTATATGTATATTACAAGATAGGCCAAGTTTCAATATTATCTATTGAAGAACCCAAGCTAAGATTTACATCCCTATCAACATAACAACAAAGAATAAACGAATAATGCAGTTGTCTCAAAAAGAAGGGAATAATAAAGAACCACATGTTGTGTGGTGTTGTCGGGGCAGGGTTGTTGGCATAAGCGACTTGCACCACTTTTAATCGACTTATAAGAAAATATTACTTTAATAATTGTGAAACAAAAACAAAAAACTTTGACTTTAAAGAACATTCAAATGTTTTATAGTATGTCAAGTAATTATACACGTACCTTCAAGCGAAGTGGATAGTACTTTTCCATGGCGAGCGTCCGGGTTGTCGCTAAGAGGAAAACCAACGCCCATCTTAAGTGCAGCCGCAGTTGGCACAGACATTGACCTGCTATCCAATCTTGTTTATAGTAAGGAGAATGTCTATGACACCCCATTTCGATACGTGCCACAATTAAAAAATATCAGAAGTAATCTTGACTTCGTGTCTTATAGATTCATAGTCGAAAAGTCATGGTCAAAAGGAACATAAGTTCCTTTCAGGGAAGCACATCAACATGCTTGGTTATAGTGATGTGCCGCACAAAGTTATTATATAGAGAAAGAGAATTCTTTTTTTTTTGTTGCTTGCAATTTACCTAACTTTAATATTGATAAAACAAAGCTTTCAATTTTACAGTCTGAAAATTCCCGACGTTTCGGATGCTTTGCAGCAGCCGTTGTTACGTGGTCGGGATGTATTTAAAATAATTTTCAAATTAGTTTAACTAATATATATCGCGTTTTAAACCGTTAACGTATTGTATTTAAATGTGTACAACTCGCGTAAACTAGACACTGAAAATGTTAATTTCGACAATATCATACCGTTTCTGCAACTGTTGCGGTGTCACCTTTGGCGTAGATCTATGAATGACTGGTGGTAGTAACGGCTTGTCCTCCAACAAGGTCGTTGTACACGCCGGTATCTTTGTCTTTGGGCACATGGAGGATATCAGGTCGAAAAGCTTCTGCAGCGCTTGACGGGTACTTGTAAGGTTGGCTAGTGCGTCTGTGTTTTCTTGTGCTGCCTGTTTATTAAGAAAATTATAGTTTGTTTCGCAAGAAAATAATATCAAGCATTTTTGTTACTTTTATAGATATGAAGTTGATGAATATTGTAACAGACCAGAAAAGTTTAAAGCCATTGTTGTACTTCTCTTAAAATGCAAATTAGGAAAATATATAAACAAACAAATTTGACTTTCTATAATGATTGATACTGATATATCAATTAAGCAGGAATCAGATCATCTACTTCCCTGTAAACAAAACTACACCTCACATGGTTTAGATAATTTCCTACATACCATATCATACTCCGTCCTTAATTTTTCGTTATCAGCTAGCAGAGTATCATTTTCTTTTGTGAGTCTTTCTAAAGAGTGTCTTAGTGAGGCGACGCGAGTGTTCCTCTCCAAGTAATAACCAACAAACTCAACGGAGAAAGCTGGGGGCACATGCCAGCGACGAGACACGTCCTTAAGTGCTGCCATCTGGAGAAATAACAAGAGTTAACGTTAAAGAAAATGAACTGCGAAAGATATTGTAGAAAAGTCAAAGCAACTGTTTTAGGTATTTAAGTCTTTATTTTGGTTTAAATAAAACACTTTAAACAGTTTAAAACGCAATATATATTAGTCACAGGGACATATTGTCTTCCCTGTGACCACAGCAGCTGCAAAGGATCTGAAACGGCGGATTGTAGTTAAAATAATTTTCAAATTAATCAAACTAATATATATCGCGTTTTAAATCGTTATAATGTTTTAAATGTGTATCACTCGCGTAAAAACACAGTGTTTTTTTGGGTGTTATTCTGTGTACGCGTCTATAAACGAAAAGTAAAGTGATTAACTATAGTTTTTATTTTTATCTTATTTAAACAAATTTAATTTAAAAAATGTCGGTAGATTATCAAAACGATCCTAGTAGTAATAATTAAATATCAGTAAAACATTAAAGTAACCTGTGCATCTTGAAACTCAAGGGCGTGTGTGTCGATGCCCATACATTCCGCTTTGCGTTTGAACTTTCTCATAGCAGATGCGCTGCTATATAACATCCGCGCCATTTTCTGTGTCGGCACTGAAATATATGGAATGTTGATTTTGTATAGAGGATATTTACAAAATATGGTGATTCTAAAAATAAAACAAAAAAAATTACCCCAAGGTGGGTTTCTATTTTCCTTCTGCTGTGCATACTTTCGCCTATACTTGACTAGTTTCCTTTGAATCCTCAGCTTGGCCTCTGTACTTAAGTTTTGTTGTAACTCCAGTTTTCTAGAAAATACCAAGTACAGTTACCGTCAATTTGGTTACGATAGTCACTAGAGTCGTTGTAGTCGTTATCTGTCTTGTTGGCTTGCGCCTTTATGACACAATGTTTCTTTAAAATAGTAGTTTTAATAAATAAATCTGATTGAAATGTTCAAAACTTGTAAACATAGTTTCTGTAAAAGTTCGAATTTGACATTTTTGAGATTTGACTCTAGGTTCTTTAAAAATTTTAATAGAAGCAAGAATGATCTTGAGTTTAATACCTTTTCTCAGTTCTTAGCTGTAAGGCAAGCCAATTACGTTTTCTCTTCTTAACCAATGTCTTATCGGAGTGTAAACGACAATGAGCATAAAATGGATCTGCTTGTTCTACTTCCTCTGAATGCGCCTCTGCCAGTAAACCAGCTCGTTGTCCACTAGAAGGAAATAATTTGACATTGTTAAGTATCATATAATTAATTGATTTTTTTTGTGGCATTTAATATCTTATTTGTTCAAATCTGCACATACCAAGTAACATGGAAGAAAGTCTTGCAAAGCCCAGCATCACATTCCACACATACACCGGTTCGTGCTAAAGTAGTATCGTCACAAAGGGCACAGCTTCTGGCCCCCCACCGGGAATATGCCATTTCAAATAACGTTACACCGGACAACCGTTCCACCTAAAACAGTAAAAGTTTTTTTTTATTCTAAAATAATAATGTGTTTACAAATTTTGGACAACCTTGGAAACTCGAAAACATATAATAGTAATAGCAAATTATTACACAGTTTAAAAATATATAACAAATGTGGCAGGTTAAGTGTGATTCAACAGTTATTACCTCAGAAAATGCAACTCCAGGTACATAAAGGGCACACACAAGATGCACCCAAGCACCAACTTCTGTTTCTTTGAATATTCCACCTACAAAGATAAAACTAAGTAAGCATTAAAACTTTCAAATGTCTGTTAAAAAATGTCAGCCACCTACCTTTATTTGGACATAATTCACAGCTTGGATCTGTTACCCCAGCCTTGCATGCTTCACAAAACCATGGTTCAGTTGAAGCTGAACTGACTGTACTGGATTCACTAGTAACATCGGATACTCCATAACAACCTAGAACGGGATAAGTGCTAATAATTTTATCTAGAAAGACAAAGCTTGTTTCACAGACACAACCAATATTGCTACAAAAAAAATTAATGCTTAAGATTCAATTCTCTATCTCATTACAAATATCATTCAAGATTTGAAGGAACAGACAAGATTTTAAAATATGTATATTTCTAGTACTATTACTTTCTCTTGTATGGGTCAGATACATGCCTCTTTTAGTTTTTGCCTATTCTTTTATAGTTGAGATTGATACTTTTATACACTGTTCTATTATACCTATTTGTTTTGTTTCATATAAATGACATCTCTTGTGTGTAATTCAGTTCTATTCTATTGTTAAGCCTCATACTTATAACAGATAAAATTATTAAATACTATTTACCTTCATGGACTGTGACACCACACCCATCACATTCAACAATTTCATTAAAGTCATCACTTCTAGACCCCAAACAACCTGCACATATCATCATGCTACTTAAGTCGGGAATCTGAAAATTAATTAAATATAAACATATCATATATTATATATCAATGTATAAAAACAGGGTTTTATAAAAAATCTATATATATATTACTTTTTTTAAAAATCTATAATACTTACATTAAACTCTTTCTTAGCCTTTTCCAGCAATTCTGTGACTGACATTTCACCATCCAATTTAGGTGCAGGATTTTTAAATTCATTTTCAAGATCTGATTCTGTTTCTCCTTCAGAGCTGCCTGAATTGGCTCCCCCTTCTATTAATGAGATATTGTTGTTTGAAATTTGCCCTTTTTTTAAACAATTATGTATGTCATTTTTTAGTATATACAAATAAATAAAAAAAAACTTACTTTTGTCATCATCAGAATTTATAGAATAATCATCACTTTCTTCAGGATGATCTTCTATACGAAAATCTGAGTCGTCAGAACTTTCCCCTTCCCCTAGATCGAAATCAAGGAAGTTCTGCGGTTCTGCCGGCTTAACCTTTCGTTTTGCGACGCCTCTGCCCTCTAGAAGAAGATTTAATTGTGATAATAACAACTAAAGTTCTAATTTTGTTTTGGATAATACAACAATGTAAACAATCTTTAGTCTTTACTTACGGTTATTCATAGTAGAATCCCTTTTTCAGTGTTATCCACTGACGCATAAATATATATAAGTTGTACTCAATGTGTATAACATAGTCTAGTAGCAGCAGTGCTTAGAAAAAGGGAACGCAATCATGATACCCGAACAAAAAAACTTGTTAAACAATTAAAGCAAGCATATTCTTAAAATTTATCGGAATTACACAATTTGTAATTCATAATTATATAAATAACACACAAAATAATTATTAAATATTAATTAATTGCTGCAACTCAATTAATGACATTTAGTGACAATTGACAGATCACAGGATATAGTAAAGATTTTTTGTAATCAAACAAACCACGTTCCACTTAACTTGACACTGGCAAAAAGTTTGTTCTTCTTCCCCCCAAAAAAAAAAAAAAAAGGGATTTATTAAAGTGTCTTCAACGTCAATGTCAGTTATCTATTCCTAATTTGAATTCTGTGGCCTATGTTTGAACCAGAGAATATAGTACTCGAGTGATTTGAACTTTGAAGGTTTATTGTTTTGTAAGACGAAAGAGTTTCAAGAAATATTAAATAACAATTATTAACTTTCATTAAATATTTCATGCTTATCGGAAAAGTGAAACATTATTGAATAAGCTTGTATGCTATAACAATATATTCCTCCTGTAGTTTCACAAAATACAGGATGGTGGGTCTCGACGCCGATATGACCAGAGATGAAGACTGTGACAACATTGGCTTAGGATGTGCACTGGAACAGTTTTCGGAGGTCGAAGAAGTACTCAACATGATCGACAATGTTAAAAATATATATAACACCCCTACCTTTGAAGCTGAATATGATAAATTATACAATATTCTCAAACAATATTATGAACAGCCCCATCTCCTTGATCCACACTTAGATAAGATTTTGGCCAAATTTATGGGAATTATCAAGGATAAAAGTTCACAGCCTGAACTCAAACATGCCACATTTAATTACATGTATCAAATAATTAGAGTGCGTGGATATAAGGTGGTGGTTAGACATCTGCCTCATGAGGTATGCCTTCAGAATTTGTGTTAATATATTGTTTGATAAACTTTTTACTGGAAAAATATATTTAATTCTTTTATACAACATGTATATATACATGTATGTATATTACAGACAGGGCACTGCTGTGCTGCCCATGTTATGTAGAAGCACAAAGATTTTATATTTAATGTCTATTACTTTCTTTAAGTTTACAATACCTATTTTTAAAGTTAATTTATATTTTCTTAGGTGTCAGACCTTTTGACTGTTCTTACATTCCTTGAAGCACAAAATCCAAATGAGAAAGACACATGGAGAGGAAGATTTGTATTATTACTTTGGCTATCAATAGTTGTCATAATTCCTTTCCACATGAGCCGTTTGGATGGATTTGCTCCAGAACAACCTGGTACATTTTTAAATTTTATGATCATGTTTTCTTGCCTTATGAGTAATACAATATTTCAAGAATTTTTTTAGGTGCTGGTTCATCAAAAAAATTGACTGTTATGGATAGAATTTTCAATATCTGCAAAACATATGCTTTGAGTAAGGATACTTGTGCTGAAGCAAGTGCCTACTTAGCATCAAAGTTTCTGATAAGGTAACAGATATGTAACAATATTTAGTTATAAAGAATGTCATTATATTGCTTGTATATATAATGTTACTTTAGAATTAAAAAATCAAGTCTTAATATTTTAAAATATGGGCACCTCTTACATTATATTATTTCTTAGGAATACTTAAAATCAAATATTATCTACATAATACATGATTTTCATGATTTTTAATCATTGTTATGTATTTTCCTTTTCAGGTCGGATGTAAAGGAATTATACATGGGTGCATTTTTTAATTGGGCCTGTGACTTACATTCCAATATTCAAGAAGAAAATACTATCCACTATGGAGTTCTAGCAGCCGTAGCAGCAGTATTAAAGCATGGCAAGCGAGATGATCTATTACCATTTGCACCCAAACTTTTGGAGTGGGTTACTACTCAAAACTATAAGAACCATAAAGCTATTCTTGTGAGAAAGTATGGTGTTAAAATTGTGCAGAGAATAGGTAAGACAAAGAAGTAATGGAAAAAGACGATTTTTATTTTTCTTTTTATTGTATATAGCAATTTTGGTGGCATTATCAGATTTATATAAAATAAAATTTATATTTTATTTCTATCTTTTAAAAGCTTAAAAATAGTGTTGTAACTACACAAATTATTACACTTCATATTTAATTAAACATCATGCCTTAAGTTCCAGATTATAAACTGTTAAAGAATCCCTGATTTAGTCTCTAAATGGTAAGTTATTTGTATTTCATATTTATAATGGTTAAGAAGTAATGTTTGTTTTTAGGATTGACATTCTTACGTCCTCGTGTAGCAGCGTGGCGATACACTCGCGGCTCCCGGTCGCTAGCAGTCACTCTTGGTGGTGTTGCTGCAGCTGGTGACACAGAACCCATCACTTCCCTACCTGATGATGATGATCAAGACATACCACAGGAGGTTTGTCTGAAATGATATATTTTTCAGCTGTGTCAGTGAATTCGTTTGCCTAGAATAGTTATTTTGAACACCAAAATTAGTTTGCAAACCAACTCCTCATCTTTATAAATTATAGCTGTTAACCACAATGTCGTTCGCGTCCCGTCGTTCTTGCAAATTCATCTCAAAAGATTGACATATACTGTTACGGATTTATTTTTTTGATCATTTAAAAATGGAATCATTCTGTTACACACTTTTTTGCCTAACTTGAGCCGTTGTCGTAGCGCACGCTACGGAAACTCAAAGATAAGATGATTTTCCACGATTGTTCCATATTTTTCAGAGTTTCTTTGCTCTTACTGGTGCTGTTTGTTATTTTTCAGCCTTCCTAGCTATAAATGCTCCTAACTATCCAAAAAAGAATTTTTCAATTCAAACCAGTAGTTCCTAAGATTAGGGCGTTCAAACAAACACACTCTTCAGTTGTATAATATAAGTATAGATTAAGGAGTAATAAATAAAAATGTAATAGCTATTGAAATTGAAACAGATTTTTATATTGGAATACTTTCATTATTTATTTAAACCAGCTAAATATTTTGGGATTCAGTAAATAAAAGTTCTTATATAATACCTTTATAATATAAAACGTTTCAGGTCGAGGATGTTGTAGAGCTTCTTCTCTGTTCCTTGCGGGATGACGATACAGTGGTTCGGTGGTCGGCTGCGAAAGGTGTCGGTCGTATTGGGGCGCGGTTGCCTGCCCTCGCTGCCGCTGATGTTTGCGAGAGCGTGCTGACGCTGTTCGCAGAGCATGAACGAGATACCGCTTGGCATGGGGGATGCATGGCGTTAGCCGAATTAGGTAAGTTATTATGTTATAAGTATTTTCTTTCGGTTATTTGTGAATTATATTTGATTGAAAAATATTTTGAGTTTCCGTGTTCATAAATTTTGAGAAATATTTTGTACCTGTGTATAATTTGGAAATGCATGTAAACACTCATTCATTTTAATAGCAAAATATAAAGAAAAAATACATTTTTATGTACATCGCGCGAGAGGTGTAATTATCAATATGTTGAAAAATTCGACAATGCCGTGGTAAGATATGGTAGCTCAATTGGTTAGATTAGCACGTAACACTGTGGATGACGGTTAAATTTTTATACCTATCAAATTTTACGTTGGATTAAAAGTAATTATGTGAGTTTAGTTAGTAGTAAAATTATTAACTTGTCGTTACAATCATTTATACAAATAGAGAAAGTGATTGTAACAATTTTTATTTGTTATTTCATCGTGTATTTTAAACTGTTTTTAGCTCGCCGCGGTCTTCTTTCACCTCAGCAATTGAGTTCTGCAGTGCGGTGCGCCGTTCGGGCACTATCTCGTGATGAAGTTCGTGCTGGGGGCGGAGCTGGAGGTGCGCGAGCGGCGCGTGACTCCGCATGCCATGCCGCGTGGGCCTTCGCCAGGGCATATGATGCGCAGGCGCTCGCGCCTCACGCAGACGCACTAGCTAACGCGCTCATTGCCACTGCGTGTTTTGATCGAGAGGTAAAAATCAATTAGCTATTCAATTAAAACCTCATGGTTTTGCCACCAGAAACGTGCTATGCAGCTATGCTGTAAACATGTGGACTCACGATACCAAAATATGTGACCGTTTCCAACAATACTACGTTAGGTTAGATGTGCGAGAAAGATACCTATCTTAAGTTATGGCCGATAACAGACATCCATAAAATTTAAAATATTAAAATAGAATAAATAAAAAATTATATATTACTTGAATCCGTTTCCACCAGTGCTAAGATATGTTCCAATGAATATGATTAGTGGATATCAAAAGCATCCATAGCATAATAGGACAGTATACCTCTAGTGGAAAAGTCTCCTTAATCTAGTGTTTCCAAGCATACCATCATCATCATATCTGCATATAAGTTTATAATTTAAAATGTTTTAAAAATTTGCTTTTATTGTGCTCTAATTGGTTTGTTACCTTGTGACTATTAATTAAGATATTTATAATGAAAAATATGTTGATTCAAATAACATGAACTCGTTAAGTCCCATCGGTGTACCGCGTACATAAACTTGCTAAAGGCCACTTTTTACTTTTTATTAATATTTTCTTTCTTTTAAGTCATTTCTTTTTTTTATTCTTTCCTCAATGTGTTCTTTATTTAAATAAAACACCTTAACGGTTTATTGCAATATTATAGTGGTTAACCTTATTTGTAATTTATATTAACTACGGCCCGATGTTTATGTAATATATATCGCGTTTTAAACCATTTTTCTTTAATGTGTACTACTCGCTTAAACTTTATACAATATTTAATGCGTCTCATATGTTTAGATAAATTGTCGTCGCGCTGCAGCGGCCGCATACCAAGAGAACGTGGGCCGCCACGGCATGTTCCCCCACGGCATAAACGTGTTGACCACAGCGGACTTCCACTCAGTGGGCCCTAGGCACAACTCATACCTCGTAGTCGCGCCACAAATAGCTGCCTACCCGGAATACACACAGCCCCTTATCGACCATCTAGTTGATCTGAAAGTGGAGCACTGGGATTTTGCTATACGAGAATTGGCGGCTAAGGCTCTCTACAAATTAACTGATAAGGTATGTTAAAAAAAAATAAACCTGTTGGGCTCGATGGTGTAATGGTACCAATTTATAATTAATAACCAATGGAATTACTTGAAGGTGAAATGCCTCAGCCACTGAACAAGATGGGTTGTCGATCTATTTTGGTTTTGGTTTTGTATATTCGGTTCTCAGTATATCGATACTTAAAAGTAGCACAAAAATATTCCTTATGTATAATTTAGTAGACTTCTTTTTCACAATAAATCGTACTCTTACTTATGAGGTATTCTATGTAAAATTATAAGAAATGCACATGTTTTGATGTCCGAAAAAGTTTTAATGAAGAAAACTAAAATATAATGTAAAATAAAACCTTCTTTTATTAAGAAACGTTTCGTAAAACTGATTATTCTGTCACTGAAGACATATTTGGATAATGTCATAGTTTTATCTTAGTTTATAGCTTTATAAAGTTTAGATATAATATTTATGTACAATTATTTGATTCGAACCGTAAAATTACAACATAATTATGTCTGATGTGCGTGAAATATATACCAATTTAATTGCGATAATATTTCTTATGTTAAAATCTTGTGTTGCAGATTCCAGATTATATGGCAACTATTGTTCTTCCGAAATTAGTTCAGAAGACCGAGTCCATCGACTTGAATGTACGCCACGGAGCTATATTAGCTATCGGCGAAGTTATTTACGCTTTATCACAGGCAAAATTGCCAAACGGTAAGCGTTAACTGACTAATGTAAATACGAAATTACTTAATGATGATGCTTTATTTCTACTTTCTCAAATTCAAATCTTTTTATTGCCCTTTATGTATACTTTTTACAGTTTATAAGTATTATAATATTTGCTTCATACTTATAACTTAGATCTGTAATGCATAATCGAATCGGTACCAGTGTAAGCTGTTCTGGTGACTTTAAGCAGTACTGATTTTCAGACTGGCCTGTGTAATGTAGAAGATTAAGTAAATATATAAATTTATAATTTAGTTTATAATAAATTTGAGGATTGATATCAAAACAATATCCTACACACTTAATCATACTATAGGTAGAAGGACCAGTTTTATATGCACCTTGAAAGTTATCAAAATCGTATCCTAACAGTTCTAAGCAGTGAATACTATTTTTTTAGTCACTGTAGATCCTTAATCAAAATAAAATGTAAAGATTTGGTCATTTATTTCCCCTAGTATACGAATCAAAGACCACTCACTCTTAACCATTGCGCAAACAGAATCGATCTATTTGTAGCTTAAAAATGATTATAACATATTTGTTTTCAGGTCAAAAAGCGGACACACTTATTAGTGAGGACGTATCTTCTTGCGTACGGTCCTTAGTTGGTCGACTGGCGTCAAGGCAACAGTTCCGTGGTCTAGGCGGAGAGTTGATGCGACAAGCGTGCTGCCACTGCATTGCTAAACTCAGTCTTGCGCATGCGCCGTATCACCAAGACCCGACTATAGGTACATTACTCATAGAATTCTCTTAGACAACTTACGTTTTTTACTGACCAGATACAATACTTTCTCTTTTTAGCATGTTTGTATTAACTGATGTTAATGCAGTTTATCAATATGTATATAGAATTCTGAATCAAGTAAATCTATACTAATGCGTAACGCGCTAATCTCGGAAGCTACTGGTTCGAATTGAAATATGAATCTTGTATTGGTTAGAGCATTTATCGAGGAAGGCTTTAAAATATCACGATGCGACTAGTAGGGGTTAAGAAACGGCGGGAAATGGGGAAAAAATCTCGGAAATTTATTCATCTTTGTGAGTTTCCGATGCGTTCGCTGCGAAAACGGTTAAAGACACCCAAAAAATATGTAAAATAATGATTCCTCTTTAAATGATCTAAAAAATGAACGCGATACTATCTAGTGTGGCTATCTTTTAAGTTTAAAGTGTAAGACGACGGGACGCGACCATCGCGTGACTAACAGCTTAAATTTATAGAGATGTAAAGGGGTATTGCAAAATCAAATTTGGATGGCGAAAATAACTATGCTACGCGGACGAATTTGCTGACACAACTAGTAGTATATAGGAGGGTTCCTACTGAAACTTTCGTATTCTTCTCCTATTCAGTATAGATTATGAAAAAGATATGGCGACATTTTATAATATAAAATGGCATCATGTTTAATAACATGTAAAAAATATTATTGTTCTCATAAAAGTTAGTTAATACATGTTTAGTTTTTAATACATGTTTTTTTCTTCAGATGAATGGCTGAATCTAATTGAAGAATGCCTCTCACACGAAGTTCAAGTGATCCGAGAGAAAGCCATCGAAGCGATGCCGCTTGTGTTTGAAGTGTATTTACAAAATGATGATTTGGTTTATGATGGTGTGAAGGCGAAGGAAAAACGCGCGCATCTGATGGAGAAGTATTGTGAACAACTCTCTAATGCTGGAGTGAATGGATTGTTGTTCAGAATGGGGTATGCGCGGGCAGTAGGTAAGTAAACTAAGTCACGTTATAATATCCTTTTTTGTCTTTTAATAACCTAAATTACTAATACTCTACTATTCACCCATAGAATACTATATATTATATTTTCACAATTGTCGTTGTCCGAAGTTGTGTATATACACAGCTATTCAATAATTATTTATTGAACATGTGAGTCAACCGAAGTGCTCAACCATTTAAGATTAATTTATTTAAATATGGCAGGTATTTTTAGATTAAAAATGGACACTAGATGTAATTCATTTTGAAGGTTTTCTTTTAAGGCGCCACTTTTGATATTTTAAGACGCTGTATGTCGATGAAAGAATATATACTTTTTGCGTGCGGTTAAGAATTTTAATATGTATATATTTTAAATGTATTTGGATCTGTTGTCACAGTCGGGGCCTGAATCTACAGTCATCTAAATATTTATGTATACTATTTGTATCTAATTCTACATTGCAGGTTCCCTTCCAAAATTCGTTTTAAGTGAACACCTACCAAACGTCATCCGATCACTAATAGAATGTACAAAGGTAACAGAAGGCACTACCAAATGGGCTGAAGCCCGCCGTGATGCAGTGGTGGGTCTCACGGAGGTCTGTCAGACTATGGGAATTGTGGGAGGGGTTGAAGGACATATTAGGGATGTTGTGAAGGCTTTGCTTGATTGTCTCGCTGAATACACCACCGATATGAGAGGTGACGTCGGTGCTTGGGTACGCGAGGCTAGTATGAGTGGTGAGTGAATAAATAGATATAATAAAATAAAACAAGTAAAAATTCTAGCAGTGAAAATAGGCGCCGAAAGGTATTAAAAATCGATTATACATTGAAAGCATCCACAGCATTCTGTGCTGTTGCTCTAACCGATTAGCCGTATTTTATTTTTAATCGATTTATAATCTAAATTGTTCCATCATGCGCAATAACATGTGAAAAATATTAAAGATTTCAAATGCGAAGATATTCTTTCCTTTGAAAAATGATTTTCAAAGGAAAGAAAAAAGAATGTAATAATTTGAAAAATTTTCAAATCATTACATTCGCTTTGACCAGCCTAAATCTTCGCAAAGGAGAGTCGATTTTTTTCCAAGATTGGTGACGTGAAATAACTAAACTTACAAGCGTTAACATATAATATATGTGTACTCTATCTAATTTATACTGTATATCATTTCAGGTCTCCTATCAATTTGTCGCCAGTGCGCGATAGAAGCGCCTCAATTCAACGACTCTGAAGTTATTAGCGCAGTGATGTGTGGCGTGGCACAGCAAGCTGTCGAGAAAATAGACAGAACGCGTGCCCATGCTGGAAGGATTTTCACTTCGCTCATTTATAAGTTAGTATTTTTCTAAAATAGCTTAATGAACAACCATATCAAAGCTCCTTTGAATTAAGAAAAGGTTTCTATTTGTATGCTCAATTTGTTTTTCATTAACGATTATTAATTTATAATTCTTAGATTTTTAATATTGAACTACCCTCATAAATTTTTACGTTATATTATGTTTTATTACGATTAAACGATTTCTTCTAAACGCTGACACTTGACTTCACCTCAAAATTCGTATCTCCTACAGTTCATCTATACTTGCAAAGATATTGTACAAGTTTTATAACTTAAATAATTGATTTTCTTTATAACATTTAGCGTTCACAACACTAAAAGCCTGTGACAATGGCTACAGCAATTCTTACTGTATCCGTAACATCGGGGCCGTATATAAATAAAGTAATATTTTTCGCGTTTTAAACCGAAAAAGTGTTTTATTGAAATATATACGCGGGTAAAGTACACACAATTAATCCGAAAACGTTTTTCAAATGTTCCAGCGAACCTCCGGTCAGTAACATACCTCATCACGATGCGTTAAAACGTATCTTTCCATCCGATGAAGTGGAGATAAAGCCACAAAGGCAGGAGGAGGAGGAACAACTGACAAGCGAAAACTCCAACGTGGTGCTGTGGCTATTCCCTGGACACACGATGCCGAGATTCGTCCAACTCCTGAACTACCCAGCTTATAGATATCACATTATTAAGGGCTTGGTTGTAAGTGCTGGGGAAATTACAGAAAGCTTGGTAAGTTAACATTGAAAAAATACTATAACACACACCAATTGACAGGGGACTTGAATCGATTAGAGCTGCAGCATAGACTGCTGTGGCTGCTGGTTCAAATCCCGCACGTGTCATAGATATTTTTAGTATAATAGATTTTTAATATATAAAATGTAAATATTAAAAAAAGTGATATTGTATATATGAAACTTTTAAATGTATACTAATATATAACCTATTATATTAAAATTATAATAGATTCTACTAAAAATATAGTTTAAATCATCAATTTAAACGCGTCAATTTTAAATTTTTATCATATTATAAAAATAGATTGACTAGATTAATGACCATAGCGGGATTCGAACCCACTACCATTGATCACCGTGCAGGTGTTTTACCGTTATCGAGTAGTTACATCAGAGAGTAATTAATAATTTTCTGTCAAAATAAGGTACGTAAGTTTTTTAATCCAGACTTACAGCCTACCACCCCGACCATCAAGGTCGGGTCGTGGACTAAACTGGCTATATTCATCATTTCTTTCATGCTCTCAATTTGTCTTCACTTTTATTGTTACTTTTTTAGTTAGAAGTTGAGTTACTTTTTTTAATTGGTAATCTTAAGTAAGGGGTAAGTTGTATATCTTTGATGCACAGGTAAAGCACACGACCCAATCTCTGTTCTCATACCTGAACTCGCTGCACGAAGATCTGGAGACGCTGAAGAGCATCTGCGACACAATCATACAAGTTTTCCGTGATAATTTGCACGTGAAGCGTATAACTGGGCCCATATTCAACTTTCTTGACAGACTGCTAAGTTCAGGTTAGATCATTCATTAATGGTCTTTAATAAATATTGAAAAAAGATCGACAGCGCATCGTGTGCAGATGTTATGTGGCTGGGGTATTTCGGCTACCATCAAGGCCCCAGTTTGTATGCCCTCCTCGATCGATTAAAAAAAGGGTTTTTTAAAGATTTATCTTAAAAATTTGTTTCTTTTTACTTCCCTTTTTAAATATAAATATACTATGTTTAGTACAGTTAGTAATTAAGTCATACCTGTAACTAACGGACATTCGCGCAGCTGTCGTGAATTTTCTCGATAGTTTGCCAAATTCTTTATCAGTATTAGCGACACAAATGATCGCGTTTTATTTATATTTATCGAGATTAAAAAGCATTTTACTGATATGGCCAAGCAGGTAACTATACTAAATATAATTATTTATTTATTTTTTCAACAAGTATCGATGCTTATCTTTGGTATTGCATACTCATAATAAAGCAGTTAACGGTTTAAAACGCAAAGCGGTTTTGTACATTCCGCGTTTTAAACCGTTGAAAGTTTTTACCTAAATGAATACGTATGTGATATAGGTCCGAATACTACTTGTGGGAAGTTTTTCGATAATTTGTTACTAACTTAATTTACAACTACTAACTATTTGATAATTTTGCAGGCTCCATCTCTCCAATTCTCGAAAATAAAGAGTCCACCTTTGCCATGGATGTCTTGAAACATTTGAAGCTGGAATTAAAAGGAGGCAAAAACATCTACAAACTTCTGGATTCTATTAACGTGCTTTGTCAGTTAATTCAGGTATTGTGACAGCAATTTATCACTACGTATGTAGGTATAACATTAAATAAATATATGTTAACGGTTAATAATCCTAAAGTATAAACTAAAAATCAATTTTATAAAACAAGAATATGTTATGATAAAAAAAAATAAAAAATGGCAGTTTAATTTAACCGTTACGGCGTTCCATGTATTGTGCAAGGCATGTGTCCCACACTCCTTCGTCATTTTTCCAGCAAAGTTATTATCACATCATCCATTATATAATACGTTTCGTTCAACTCTTGTGCTTTGCAGCTTAAGAAAATAATTGACAGATATTTTAATTTAAGTCCATCATGTAAAAATATTACAGTTTTCAAACATTACTACTTGCACTAACATTGTATTAGACATTTCGTAAAAAAAGAAAGGAAACAAAACCATTTTTTAAAAAGTTTCCAAGATGGTTTTGACTATAATAATTTTTAGAACAATCCCAAAATTAATAAATTAACGTTTGTAAGCAAAAAAATCCACCAGGTTTTCGACCCTGTCTTTGGGGTTTATTAGTACAACGCAATGCGTAGAGGCCCCAAATTCAAATCATAGGAAAAGAATTGATTGTTTCTGTAGGACAGGGCACAAGAGTCTGATCAACTCCTACTATAATATTATCTGACCCATGTAAGGATTTTTTAAATATATTTAAATTGTTAGGTCGGTGGTGTGGTCGCAGCACAATCTTTAGGCCCGCTAGTTATATATCTATGTTATGCGGAACGGTACGTGCGTCGTTGCGCCGCTGCGAGACTCTACGAAGCACTCACGCTGTACGGGGACGTGTGCGATCTACCTGCTGATAACCTCGATCAGGTATATACAAGATGTAGCCAAGAGAAGTAAAAATTACAAGGAATTAAGTAACTTGGAAGAGACGACTGACTTTAAAAGACGCTCTTAGTGTAGTTAGTACTACCAATGTAGCCGAATAGTTTAACTTAAATATTAGTTTGGGTCGCTTAACAGAGATTTTACACTTATCATTGTTATTGGATTAGTACGAGGGTTATAACTTATTCTAATTAATCCATAAAATAAAATAGTCATGAATTATCTTCTTAAGAGGTGGGTTTATACATTTGCTTACGTCTACTCTCAAATTCGTCCAATATTCTAAAATATGAAATTACAAATAGACAAAAATAATATTTTACAGGTAATGTCAATCCTTGCTGACACGGACTGGGAAAAAGATGTCAATGAATTGAGGCCAATAAGGAATGAAATTTGTGATCTGATGGGGATCGAACGACCGGTTATGAAGCAGAAAGCACCTTAGTGCCAATACAATAAGAGCTATGTTTGATTCTCTTGGATTCAAAGAGATTTTCTCCTGAATACGTGTCTGACTATAAAGGGACTAACAATATTGTATCTTATGTCACATGTTATAAAGCTTTGCTGGAGTTCTAAGCTTATATAGCTATCGAATATCGCCTAAGATATCTATGTCTTAATGTGTTAATTATTTTACAATGATATGACTTTTTTAAGCAATACGGAGTAGATCGCTTTACTAATATCAAATGTTCTTATACAACACATTGTATATCGCTTTGTGCCTTAGCCGGGACGTTAAGAATTATATTTTGTTCAAGCTACGCAGATTATTATTTATTTTTTGTTAACCTTGATTTTTACAATAAAATAATGCGCCTGTATCTCAATAAAATATTTATTCTTTACAGTAGTTTAATTTTACAACCATCGGTAGTTAGTAGATAAAATATTTCACAGAAATAATTATCATTGTTATTTAAATTTAAAATATAATATTTAGTTTTAATCTTAATTGTAAGACACAAGATTAAAATAATACGTTAGTGTTAATTTTAACAAAATATTTGATAAATAGAAACTTTAACTAGAAATCCTAATTAATTCTTCTCCAAATACACGATTCTTTATAACTCTGGGCAGTGTTGTACTTAACATTTTATACGTTTTTAATCAATAGATTCTAAACCATTTATTACTTAGCCAAGTACTTGTAGATCTGCGGGATCCTGTGGTGCTTCGGCTATAAGGTTGGACCAAAAGGTGCCGTAGTTCTTTAAAACTGTGCCCCTAGAAAAAAAAATGAGCTATAAATAACACACATTATCAATGCCAATAAAAGAGTTGATACGAAGTTAAGTATCCTATGTAGGGGATGCGGGAAAGAGACAGCGTTATATTTTTTTTATGTGTTTAGACTATTGTGTAGAAGAATACACTTCAAGCTTAAGAATTGGTGAAGGAAGATATTTACAAGTCCTGCGTTGGAGTAGGTATTTAGGCTTATGGGTACCAAATAAAGTTAGTTCCCATTTTTGTACTGGCGTTATTTGCTAATTCTTCTCTGGATTTATAATCGTTGCGTTATAAATAATATATCAAATTGCAATTATATTTCTTTAACACAGCTCAGTGATAGGATATATCGTCATAGCCATTAATTTTATTTTGTAATTTGTTCGTATTAACCGTAAGTACAAACTATTGGCAAAATCCATCAAATGTTACATGAGGTCACCATTATTGCCACATTGACATGCAGTGAACGGCAGCGGTAAAGGATCGACAATTTAGTTCTAGAAAACCAAATATGGTTACAATCAACTCTTGACTCGAGATTTAACTAGAAATTAAATTTCATTTACATAAGGCAGGCTTTATCAAAAATAATGCTCTATACATACGAAAATCAATAATTATGTTTAACTGTTTGAAGTAACTTTTGGGATATCGAATATTAAAATAAATTGGTAAATTATGAAAATTCCTACGTTTGGCGACGTTTTTGCCTAAAAAAGTATTCGAAATACCCCAGTCATGGCATCTAAAGAAGGTGTGCTGTGGAACTATTTCGGCTTTGGATATTCGGAAATCCACAGTCTGGAACCTGTGGACGGTCGTTCGTAACCTGGACGGAATTTCGATATTTCTACCGCCCATTTAATATCCAGATTTCCAGACGAAGTCCAACATGTTCAGGAAAATTATAAATTGATTAGAAAAAGGTTGGACCCAGTGGGGATCGAACCCACGACCCGTAGATGTACATTGTAACCATTACACCCACGAGCCTGTCATAACACACATTAAACATATTCTTACGTAAAATAAACTCGGCCGTGTGAATGCTGTGGCGACCGCCAGACAAGTGTAGCTCTGGCCTTGTCTCGCGGATCCGCGTGAGTAACGGCAGAACATTCTGGATGCACCGTCGTGTTCGGCGTCTTCTCCCACGCCCCAATCCACTCGTTTGTCTCCACTGAGCGGGCTTGGATAAAGAAGCCTTTGAAAGTGTCCACGCCTTCGATTGTTACTGATAAAATCAGAAAGATATTATTAATGATTGTAACAAGTACTTACATATTAATAATTTTTACTTCAAAATATTCGGTACTAATATCAGAAAAGCTCAATCTCTCCTTTCTTTCACCTTTAACCATTCCAACTCTTAAATTAGTTTCTCTCTTACTTGCTTTGTATATTTTTACGACGTCCCTTTTGCTGTTTTTGTTATTCCTAAAACCTACCCACTTTATAAGCTTTTATATATTTTCTTTTCTGTTCTACTTCAGGTTGCTTGGAAGTGATCGCTACTGAGCGATAAGGTCGCCTTTTATTTTAACTCGGTACGTAAGATTTTTCTTTTATATTTTTCTGGTTTGTGGTATTTGTCATTACTAATAAAGTTGTGATAAATATAATTTTCCGTCCTAATAATAGTGGTTAATAAATAATTATTTTATTAACGAACGCTAAAGTAACTTGGTAGGATTTTTTACTATACACAATGGTTTTACGCGCACAGCTGTCTATTGTTACTACCAGACAAATATTCTGCAAGAACTTGCTTTTCCTGCTTTCAATATTGTTAACCCCCAAGTACGTCTAATAATAGAGATCTCCCTTCTAATTATTATACTGATAATAATAAAAACACAGACAAACATACCCTTTACAGTGGATACATGTAGTAAAACTAGATCACGCATTAAACACTAGGCCATCACGTCTTTTATTAATGCCATTATTACAGATCGTTTCATCATAGGTTTGATTAAAGAAAGTAGAAATAGATATTAGATATATACTCAGCCCAGAGCAAGTTTGCCGTACTTGTGTGACCTACAATAACAACATAATTGCGTAATGTTGGTTCTCTGTGGGTTAGTAAAGCACTCGTTCGCAGTATTATCAATGAAATGGTTAAATATATTTAATTTAGTGAATACGGGGGCAATGCCGTGACTGTTTCACTGATCGATTTGATTTACAAGTTGATCAGAGGTTTGAACATCCAAATCCAAAATAGGTCGACAGTGCAATATATCAAGAGGTTTTTTGGCTGGGATATACAAGTAAACCCCTTGAGTATCTGTCCTCTTTTATCATAAAGAAAAAAAACTTGCCCGACCACAACTATTTATTGTTTCTCAGGATCCTCACCCCAAAACCTCTATACCCTATAGTCTATACTCATTGTACGCAATGCGTAAGCATTGAGGCATGGAGGCTGTCTTATTAGGAACGACTGATTTTTGATTCTATATTCGACTTATAATCTAGTTTATTTTAGTAAGTTCGTGTTATAAAAACCCTAGAAGGTGAGCTTTTTCAGCTGATATAAGTAACAAACACTTATAGACATGGAAATAAAGTCGGTGTGTTTATACAAAATATAATACAAATTTTTAGTACATTCATAATAATAGTTAGTATTGATTTACAATTAAAAATTGAAATTAATTTCTATTTTATTTATTTCAGGGAGTTCAAGTAGTTTATCTATATTTTATTTTTTTTGCTGACAGAATAATGTATGAATGAATAACTCATATTTTCAAATGTTTGCTTTATCCTAAATGGATAAGTAATTGTTATTTTTACTACCCTAGGACAAACCTGTGATTCGCGTGCCAGGACTGTAAGTAGCTGACGATGCTAAAACTCTATAAGGCAGATTCGATAATGGTTGTGTCCTATGCTGTCCATGGTTCGGCTGATTAGCGCGGTCCTTGACACACGCGTCTACAGGAGCCCCATCGGGAAACGCCCTTACTCTCCAACATAATAACACGAGGACCACTACTTTTAGGAACATTATCGTTTCAATCCTTAATTTGAACTTTGCAACCGTCACTCAAAGGTCCACCGGTCGACTGCGCATACGCAACATATTGCGCTTACTTTTGTAACTTTGAAAGTGTGTAGATTTTGAACAAGTTGATCATAGATTTTACACATGACATGTTACCGCCTATCTGTTGCGCAAAATTCTAGTATCAGTCATGAACACATCGGAAATAAACCTGTATTACTCGTTGGATACTGGCTAGAGACTTAGTTTTTATATATCACCAGCAATATCACATTTAACATGATGGAGTTTTTAAAATTATCTGGAATAGAAAATGAAAACAAAATGAAACCTTTAACGTTCACTTTATGAAAAATAAATATAAAAACTTTATGAATTCTACGTTTCGAATCGAGTCTCACTCTTCAATAATAAGGATTTTATCATCGACACTTCTATTAGGCGCAAGTAGATCCGATTTCATTACGAGGTTCTCGTTGTTTTCCATATATTGTATGATTTCCTCTAGCATATCACTGTTCACGTAATCGGAGTCCAATATTGTTTCATCATCTTCAACAATTCCAGGAACGTTTTGATATTTACCGCTATCATTTTGATACTCTGGCTCTTTGGTTACTTCGCTTTTTTCTACATGTTTTACACGATCCTTTGATTTTGTAGTATCAATTACTGAGTTGTTATATACACTGCTCGAAGGTGATGCACATTTTATCCAATCTTGGCAACCGATAGAAACACTGGACGCGTTAGTGAAATTATATTCATTATCCATGTCCGATCTATCCAAAAAATCGTAACCACCGTTGATAGTGCCGCTATCACCAATCGTTTCATATACAGGCTCAAGGATTTCGGCCAATCTTTCGGTTGCTTGGATCGATATTATTTCGGCTACGTGTAATTTCGGTCTCATGTACGTGTAGGAATCTTTTTCTTCAACGCTATTGGACGCTAGGCCAGTGGTGAAAGTAAACCGTCGGTCTGAGTTTGGATCTCCGCTCACGTTTTGAGGGTAGGTCGAACCCCGAACGCGCGACACTACAGCGTTTTCAGTTTTCTTGTAAGTGGCTTTAATAAGTCCATGAACCTGTAATAACAATAAGGAGTCGTATACATAATAATTATAAATGAAAACTTTTGCCATTATTGTTTATCGCGATTGAATGTTCACGTAATTGTTATTGTATAGTTATACAACGTGTGGGTAAATAAGGGTGAGGTGTATTTTAAAAAAGTCGATTCTGTCATGAATAAATAAAGCAGTTAGTAAAGTTGACCTGAAGACAGTATTTATTTTTGAGTTGTAAATAAATTCAATGAAACATGATATAATTACGTAATAAAAGTCAAATTAAGTTGACTTTAACATTATATAGAAACATCCTACTTTACCTCTTTATTAATATAGCAATAGAGCAAAGCAACGATAAACCCTTGTAAGCCTTCGATAGTGTAAGCCACGAAATAATACGCTTGTTCCTTGACACAGTCATCGGTATTGGGTATGACTGCAGTAAAAATGAATTGTGTACCAAATAGAGGCATCAGGAAAAGCGTAGCTTTGGCAGTGCTCCTATAAGAAGAAAGGTCAATTAGTCAGTGTCAAGCGTCGGTCATAAAAAGGGGGCGCACCTACGCGCGACACTTAATCCAAGTTTTTTTATATTTCACCCCAAATAGAAACGTTAACTTCTTCTTTCATTTTATTTGATGACAATGTAAGTCATCAAATAAAATGAAAGAAGAAGAAATGAGAAATCAAAACAATTTAATTGGGCGATAACCACAGAACCACAGTGCAATGTGAAAGCAAAGCTATTCTACAATTCCTGTTTACTTGTACATATCATAGTTTTTGTCGGGAAATGTAAGATTAAAAACCATTTTGAAACACTCACAGCTGATTAGCGTTTTCCGAATTCCGTAACTTTGTCAGTAAAACTCTTAAGACGTCGATAAATAAAATCGTATTCACTAAAAGTATAAGTATCCTTGGAACATCAATGATCCACTGAATATGATCGACAGTGTAGACGATCCAGCACGAGTGATCGTTCATTTGAGCCATCACCACGGACCAGGCTATCACCGGTAATACCGCTATCGCTAGAAATAAAATAATTTTTGGAAGATACAAGTAGAGAATAAATATGTATATGAATGCGAAACATTTCGTTCTATAAAAATAAATAATAATATTATGTGCCTAAATGCGTTAACTAATTATTTAATTATTGTTGGCAATACCATGTATATTTATACAAAAACCAAACCAGCCCAAACCGTTAGCGTAAAAATCCACTGTGGGTCTTAAAAGTAAAGCTTTCTAAATAGTTTTTTTTTAATCTGTATGTTCTTTATTTGAATTTATGGGCACCAAAAGAATTGAGTTTAAAAATTATTTAATACAAAGATATCAATAATTTACTACACCTGCGCCGGCTCCGTACAGCCATGCGATCTTCAACTTTTTTCTGAAGATGGCAACAATCAGTCTATGCAAATAGATGCCCTCCACTAACATACATACAAACACGGCGTTGCCCGCAATCCTCTCAGCTACAGCGAGGATACGACATGGTACTCCGTTAAGGGATAGCATAGTTTCACCAGAAGTTGTTAGTTCTTCTATGTATATCTAGAATAAAAAATGATTAGTTCAAATATGTTTATGCACTAATCATTTCGAATACTATTAAAATGTGATAAAGATTCGATAACAAAAGGAAACAAATCTAAGAGAAAGAATGCTTTTGTCGATAAAAAAAAGTTACGTACGTGTTTAAAGTATAGTTACACAAAACTGAGACCAGAGAGGCAAATAGATGTTTGGTAATACATATGTAATTATTAATTTACAATAAAATATTAACAAAGGTTTTGAATTCATAACTCATTCATATTTTATGAAATTAAAATTTCATGCATATTTAATATTCATAAAAATTGTAATATTTTTTAAATAAACTTTTTGATAACGAATTTTAAAAGAGCAAAATAATATTATTGTGCATTAAACATTATTTACTTCTTCCCAGTCTTTTAATTTTTACCTCCGTCCGGCTGATAATAACCAACGCATTGCGTATCACTATAGCGATTAAAAGATTTCTATGCAACGCGACTCTTGTTATTCTCAATCTCTTATAGAAGAAGAAGATGAATATGGCCGGTACACAAGAAGCTATCGAGAACGACAGCATAGCGATGTAGAAACGGTAGCGGCGTAACATGCGTGGTGTGATGCTGCAAGTACTGTAGTCTGTTTGCAGCTCCCATGTTCCATTTTCGAAACATCTTTTGTTGCTAAAATCTATTTGGTAAATAAACAAATAAATTACACACAACAATTAATTAACACAACCAATAAAAAAATTGACAAAACCAATAAGTTTAACGGGCTAGTCGGTGTAATGGTCGCAATGTATGGCTAATCAACGGGCCGTGGGTTCGATATCCATTGGATCCAACATTTTCTAATCAATTTATAATTTTTATGAACATGTTAAGATTCGTCTGGAAATCTGGATACTAAATGGGTTGTCGGAATATCGAAATTCCTTCCGGTTACGAACAACCGTCGACAGATGAAAAAGACGTGAAGTTTAATCACGTTTCGGTTGCAGTCTGGATTTCCGATTATCCAAAGTTTAAATAGATCGACAGCGCATCTTGTTTAGATACGGGGATGGTTTTTCACCTACCATCAAGTGAATGCGATGCTTATCTGTCCTCTATTATTATATCATAAAAAAAGTAAGAGAATAACAAGCAAGCTCTTAAGCTGTGCTCGGAAAGCGTGACTTGCTTAACGCTGATTTTCAGTCTATGTAATTGATTATCATTATTTTTATATTATGCAAAGCGTACTGTAGGTAGGTATAATGACTTTGGTTTAAATAATTATTACCGAGTCAATTTTAGTTCTTATTTTTATTATGTATATGCAATATGCATGGACAACAGAATTAACATATACTAGGCCAGTCTTTGTACGCCAAAAAAACAAGTGATTAAAATTTTAATTCATTTATACGATGTGTGAATATGAAGACCTTAAAATCAGCAAACATGGCATTGAATTTCCTATGAAGCTGTCATAGGAAATTACAATGCCATGTTTGCAACAAGCATGAGATCGTGCATAATTTTCTGGGAAAATAACAATTGCTTAATACTTACGGTGGCATGATGGGCCCGAGCTTGAATATGCGAACTCAGAACAAACGGCATTAGCCACCGTGCCGCCTTGGGCTGGCTGCCAACAAGTCCATCCGTCAAATGTAGTTTCACAACCACCGCTATCTAAAATAATGGCTCAGTGGTTAAAGGTATTGCTTAGACAGTCCTGTATTCGATTCCTAGGAAACCTTTTAAACAATTGCACAACAGGGCACAGATCTGTGAACATTAAAATATCACAACATTTAAAAAAGTTTCACCACTTCAAAAAGTGTATTGCACTTACTTACTTACACAAGCTACAAAAAATTTTAAGCATTTTGCATAGTTTAGGGGAAAACACATAAAACCTTTTGTGTCTGTTTAAAACGCGCTCATGCCCTTGTAAAACCACGCCTATTGTAAAGCAAACGAAATTTGCATCACAATTATAAATAAATTAACGAATATATTTCATGTTTGAAACAGTTACTTTCTAATTTAAAAATCGAAAATAAATTGAAAAAATTTTCGACTCGGGCAGGACTTGAACCGGCATCGTGAGCTTTCCGTGCTGTTGCAGAGCAGCAAAGCAGCAAAGCTACTTGCAATTAAGTACAAGAAAGTACTTGCAATTGCTACAGGAAATTACTATAAAAAAAATAATAGAATCATACACTGTCTATAGTTTACGCGAGTAGTACACTAAAATAAAACACTTTAACGGTTTAAAACGCGATATATTAGCCTCCCCGTGACCACGGCTGCTGCAAAGCATCCAAAACGTCGGGCCGAAGTTAAAAAAATCATTTTCAAATAATTTTAACTAATATATCGCGTTTTAAACCGTTAAAGTGATTTATATAAAAAAATTATAATTTTTCTTAAACATGTTCCAAATCCGAATTTGAAATGGGTACTAGGAATATCGCAACTACCGGGTCCGGGCTACGTACCACCGTCTTCAGCTGAAAACGCTACGCTTTTCGCATTTCGGTTTCAGTCTGTTGATTTCTAAATATAGAAAGCCAATAGGTCGACAACTCATCTTGCTTAGATGTTATATGGCTAGTATATTTCACCAAACATCAAATGATCCCCATACTTGTCTGCCGTCTATTATAAAAAAACTTGTACTTATTGTATTTTAAATGCAATAACGTAATCAAGGGGTCAATAAATTCTTACATGTTATATGAGTTGGAAATGTTAATAGAGTTGGAAAATACCGAAAAAAAAGAAACAATCGCTTCGATTTTCATTAATAAATTAATTTGTTTATGTATATATTGATAACGCCACGACCATTGCCTAATAAAGTACTAAAAGAATTTACCAGAATAAATGAATGACCTAACGAGTAAACTCACCGTAGGTATTTTCTTCCATGTAATGACTGCAACAGTCGCTCGCTTGGTAGAAACATCTCTCCCAGCGACCATGTGCTGCTGGAGCCAATGCGTCTCTAACAGCATTCGCTACTTCTTCCAAAGAAGGATCAAAAGGGTAACATCCGCATGAGCCATCTTCTTTAACCTGGTAAGAACGAGTTCTTCTATTGTTTAGAATTTAGACGCTTTGGTATTTTGTATTATAGGTACATTTTATATGAGAAACTATTTAATAATTGTACCTTCTTTACTATTTCTTATGATATATTATTATGATCTTTCTGTTTGTTTCCTTTTTTTTTAAATAGAGGAGGACAGACTAGCGTGGATGGAAGGTTAATTACTCCACCCAAAAAAAATCTAAGCTAGATGCGCTATCGACTTTCGAACATCCATTTAGACAATATATGCCTAACCTTTAAGATTAACTTGCAAGGACAACGGGACGCGGACGACGTTGTGGGTAACAGCTTTAATTTAAAATATGTGGACAAGGTTTGCAAAGTCAAATTTTAATGCCCAAAATAACTATTCTACGCAGACGAAGTCGCTGACACAGCTTTGTTTCTGTCTCGCGTGGAGAAAATGGTATTTCGAGTGCTTTACAGAACTCCTTCCAGAATTAAAAGTGTTTAGAGTATGAAAATACAATCACCAGTTCTAGGCATGGAGCAAACAGATTTCCATAGACACAGCCTGCGTTTAGATTTAAAGGGTTTGATCCATTGACGTAGAGAAAGTCCGGGGTAAAGAGTAAACAGCCACGCCCAGCGACCCACCGGTAGACTTGCTCGTGGTATGGAACATTTCGGAAGTTGCACGATTTACCGTTTTCCGGTGATACCGTGTTTTGTGGTTCCTGTAAAAAATTTGCATATTTTTAGGGAAAAATAAAAAATATGCATTTAAAAATTTGTCCTCACAGTAACGGTATCATCGTTATTCACGTGTAGTATTATTCACTACTTTACAAGACATTAAAATTTTGTTTTTTGAGTTTTTAATTGTTTACGTGTTACTCAGTTACTTACTTACCTTGAAGTCTTTGATATTATAGTATTTTTAGATTGTTTTTCACACTAATATAAGATTAGTTTCCAAGTAATATAAACATATATATATAATAATTAAGGATAAACACTTCCAAAACGTTCTTACACAATCTACATTCACGCATACAATTTATGCTGTCCTGATTTACCATCGCCAGTTGATGTCTAAGAATTATTGAGCTAAGAATTATTATACAATTTTGGCAAATGAAAATTATTGGTCTAAGAATAAGTGCTGTTTACCTCACATATGTAAATATTAGGTTTTTCACATTCCAGCTGCACATTAGTCCGTAGAGCCACTCGAGGGTTGCGCTGGTGCCAAACACTCAAGTCCACTTTCACGGGATTCAGGCCATCGTTGAAGTAAGCGTCAACCTAAACAATACAAACACACATTTATTTTTAGAACTCAATCGAGTATTGTTGTACTACTAAGCTTACAACTTAAGCAGGGTGACGAAAGAATTATTCTTTTGAAGTGATCGCATTGTTATAAAAAAGATATTTAAAAAATAGATAATGATCTAATAACGTATACATTTCCTGTATTTTATGTAGGTACATTGCAAATTTTTACCTGACTATTAACGAACACACACAACAAACAAAGTCCGAGTATCTTAAATTCACAGAATCCACACATTATGTTGCAGGAAATCCTTTGTACACAAAATAACCATAGTGACGTATGAATAGAATTATTCCACGTTTTTTCACAATACGATCGATAGATTAGATTGTTTATGTGGCAGCGTCTTCCAGTGTCTATAATCACACATAGCACGAGACAATACCATAACAGCCTTTGTTGATTGTATTCGGCGGAGAATTATTTTCTTTCGATTCCAGTGCGATGTCGATTGTGCTAAACGCTGTTTACAAATTATCAAGACCACAATCAATTGTTATCACAAATTAATCACTAAATATGCCGTGATTGAAATAGCGATTCTGAATTCGTGTTATCTTAATTTGAATGTCAAGTTCTGTAATAACTTTTATGTTATTGGTATTATATAAAACAACAATAAATTTATATGTTATTTGCACTTTTCTTTGCTTTAGTTTCGAAGGATACTGAAAACGAGATTAAGTGAGTTTAATTGTTAAATAGACTGTCTATTAAGGGCGTCATACACCTACGACGACCTAACGTCCTCAGAAATGGGTGAAATGGTAAGCAGTTTATTTGGAATGCTCCCAGCCTTCCCCAATAAAAAAATAATAATATGGGCTGTCAAGAAGTGATTCAAGCGATATTGATTATCATTTCCAGCCTGGCATAAGTGTCTAGTTTGACTTAACACTGTAAAATCCAATGTTTCGGAATCCTTTTTACAGTAAATTTTGTGAGACTTTCACGGCCATTGTTCAGCAAATCATTATTTTTCGGGCTGTTCGGTCGACGTTACCAAGAAGCGGTTCTCGTCGTTTCGCTATCACGAGCGGACGGCATCATCAGATGTTGTTAGCTCCACGATTGAAGAATTCTTCGAGCAATCGAGGTTGGCTTACGTCGACCGAACAGCCCGAAAAACAATGATATGCCCTTTTATAGTGTCGATAGTTTGAATTTCAAATATAAAAAAAAAAACGAAATTTCATCCATGCATTAATTTATAATACAGATACGAAACAAGCGATAATAATTATCCTGTTTAAGAGTTATCAGGTATGTACAAAAACATCCACGTGTTTTTATTACAGAAAGAAAAACTATTTGCTATCTTAATAAAAAAACATGTTGTTTTTAGTTAACCTTACAAGCGCAAAACATAAACCACGTCATTATGTTCATATTACCTCGTAGAATAAACTTAGATATACATATTTTGAAAGTAATCATTACAATAATTTTATACACACGTGTTCGGTTCCAGTGTCGTGCCCTCATATCCAACGAATTACTAATTAATTATTATCATTTCTATGATAGTATAAGCGAGAAGAGACATTATCACTCATGCACGATATTTACTATCGTGTAATTTATCTAAATGGACACGTTTTGATTGAACCGAATATGCCTACAAATCTGCATTTCATGAAATCCATAACGAATATCTATAGTATTATTATAAAGTTGAAGAGTTCGTTTGTTCGTTTGAATGCACTAATTTCAGGAACTGATTCGATTTGAAAAATGATTTCTGTGTTCTGCTGCCAATAGGCGCGAAGATACTGTGAGAAATGTTAAGAAAACGGGGAAAAGGATCATTTTGAGGGTAACCGTGCGCTGCGAAAACGGTTCAAGATACCTACCCAACAATCTATTTTTTCTGTTTTTTTATGTAAGTTATCTAAAAAATGTCCGCGACAGTATCTGTCTATCCTTTAAGATGATCTTGCAAGAGCGACTGGATGCGGACAACATCATGGATAACAGCTAAAATTCATAAAAATGAGGAGTAAGTTTGCAAAAACATATTTCAATGGCCAATTGAACTCTACGAGGACGAAGCCTCGGACAAAGCTAGTTATAAATAAAGTAATAAGTTAAACATTAAGTAAAGAAGTATTAATTATTATTAATTACTCGTCTTATATTTATTCGGCAGTAGATTTCTGGTTATTTATATGATAAAAAAACACATTTACATACAAAACACCTTTTTACGGTTTAAAACGCAAAATACCTACAATTTTATAAATGTAACTACGTGTAATATCGAAGTTGGAATTAAAAAAACCCTTGAAGGTGTTTCAGCCAAGTATTGCACATAAAAAGGCCAGTTTACAGTAACACTACTTAATTATACTAAGATATATAATAAATCATCCATATTAATTATATAATCATTGGACCACTACTAACCCTAATAATAACGATATTGAAAGCAGATATGTCCAGATGTGCTGCTCCTGGTCTTGACCTGCCCGCGATAAGATAATTTTTACGTGACTTGCGTTGGATGAGGTTCCCTCGCGGTGTATTATTTGAAAAACAAGAGGTTACCAGTTCGATATTTCAAAGATATAACCTGGTGAATCATCAGGGAAGAAAGTTAGTGTTTACTTTATGGTTATGTATAAGGATAAGTATACGAAATACTAAAGGATGCATATTGCATATACTTCATTCTTGTAAAAAAAAAAACATTAAAATTTCCTACTTAGTTTAAATTTTGTTCACTACCTCTTACAAAAAAATAGCATAAATTTAAAAAAAAAAACAATTTCCAATTATACCATCCTGTGAAAAGTATATAAATTTTTAAACAACTTTGTGTGTTATTTGATATGGGGTATTTTTTTCTTTAGATTTCGTGTAGGTATGTGGTTAGAGATCGTCCACAAAATTAAAACGTTAAACGTTAACAAAAATAAGGCCTTACGTAAAACATTACGCAACTCCGTCACAATTTAAAATAATGTTCGCTTTCTTAATTGCTTTGTTTTTCTTCGTGTTATTTTTGCTTAAATATCTTATCACCATATTATTTCACGATTAGTGTAATCTTAGGTTAGGGGTCACTTTGTATTCAGCACTTTTAAAACAGAAACTGTAAACTATATCTTTCCTGTACAGATATTTAATCTTTATCTGTGCAATTATTTTTGAGAATTTATAATAAACACTAATTGATAAGTAAAAACATAACATATTCAGTAGTTACCTTTCAGCTTACTTTATTACATAGCTACAGTACCAATACGTATTGGGATGTAAACTTTAACACGCTTCTAAAAGTTAATAATTAATAAAAATACGTTTAAGATTCTTTCGAAAGACAAGATCAATTATTTATTTCGCAAACATCCCACTCCGCTTTATACATTACTAGCGGCCTTGTCCCGGCTTCAAACGGGTAGACATAAATAGGTACAGATATTTAAGTTATAAGCATGCTAATTAAAAGGACCATGAATCAGTAAATTAGAGAAAAATTGTATTGCTCGTCCTAGCTGCTAACGACCGTTGTCTATCTCGCTGTGTCAGGAGCCGCTGCGAGCGTTCAGTATTAGAGTCCCGTGCACACGTTCGCGAATTTCTAGCTCTATTTCCTTTAAGTCGCTGAGACGATCTTGCATTTTGTTCTGCAAGACGAACGTCATCATTCGACGATAGATTCTTTGGCTCGCGATTGGGACACGTACACTCTAATACTTTCCAGACGATCATTTTAGGCAGTAGACTGTTCAATAGGACGAACTTTTGCTAATCTCGCTTGGAAACTATCTCTATGAACGATATTTATTTTAAAGAAATTAAGAATAAACTAATAATAATACAAAAGAAAATATTCAAATCAAAGGATATTCTAAAAAACGACAATATTTGCAAAGTGTGATTGCTTATACTAAAACTAAGTTGCTCTGACAAGAACTTTGAATTGAGAGTGAAGTATAAAAATGTAAAAAAAAGAACTCAAAATATTCAATGTCGTTCGCGCCCACTGCGTAAGGAGCCCACTGCCCCTCTAACGTCGAATAGTTAGACATATGCTCGTCGTGGCGGCCGCCGCCGGCATGTTTTATGTAGATATTGATATCAAGGATGTTCGAAAATAAAAAATTTTAGGTTTTGAGAGTTTTGGATTTGGATTTTTTTTTTTTTTAAAAATTGGTTTTTTTTTTTTTGGGCAATGTTATAGAATATATATTCTATAATATTGTCGAACATTTTTTCGTCCTATCATAAATTATTTACGCAGCGATTGCGATGAAAGATGTTTTATGGCAAATTTTTTTTCACCTCCCGTAGTTTTTGATTGGAATTTCTAAAGTAATCTAGTACTAAATAAAGCATATGTTACTTACTTACTTACTCCCCCGCTGGCGCAGCGACCCAAAGTGAGTCTTGGCCTCCGAAACTAAAGAGCGCCATTTTTGCCGATCCTGTGCAGCTGTTCGCCATTCGGCTACACCGAGCTCCGCAGGTCCTTCTCCACGGCGTCCTTCCAGCGATACCTTGGCCGGCCGACAGGTCGGCGGCCAGTTGGAATTCCGATATACGCTTTCTTGACACTCCGATCATCTCCCATTCTCTCCAAATGGCCAGCCCAGCGGAGTTTTTGGGATTTAGCTTCCCCATTATATTGGGTTCGTTTACGAGGTTTTCGATCTCCTCGTTTTTCCTGATTCTCCAGCTTCCATCCTCCCTTTGTGTCGGGCCAAGAATCTTCCGCAAAATCCTCCTTTCGGCCACCAGTAACTTTTCCTCTTCCTTAAGCGTCAACGTCCATGTCTCGCATCCGTACAGTAGAATAGGACGGATGACGGTCTTGTAGATTCGGATTTTGGTTTTCCGGGTAAGTAGTTTGGACGTTAACACCTTATGGAGGGCCGCGCAACAACGGAGGGCGTTTTGGATCCGGATATTTATTTCCTTCTTCCCTTGAGTTCGTGTCCGTTATTGTGCAGCCGAGGTACTTGAATTTACTGGTACCCCTGAATGCGATACCGTCCACATGTAGGTCCTCAAGTGCCTTTCTTTTGTCCTTATAGCGTTTCATGTGGAGGTATTCCGTTTTCTCCTCGGTTTATTCTCAGACCAATTCCAGCTGCTTCGGAGATCAAGGTTCTCGCCAGACATTGCACCTCGTTCTTTGTTTGGCCTAGAAGAGCCAAATCATCGGCGTATCCAACTCACCCTATGCTGTCCATTTAGCCTTACACCCACATCCAGCGCCAAAACATTCTGGATTACGTGTTCTAGTGCCAAGTTGAACAGCATTGGGGATAGCGCGTCTCCTTGTCTTAAGCCGGTCTTCACCACGAATTCTTCTGATAGTCCGCTTCCTACTCTAACACGCATTCTGCTGCTCTCGGTTGCGACCTTAAGCAGGGAAACTAGTTTTTGCGGGATCCCGAAGTTGCCTCAAAATAACGTACAAAGAGTCTCTATCTATGCTATCGTATGCTTTGCTAAAATCCACAAACAGAGAGTGTATGCTCTGCGAGTATTCCCACTTCTTCTCCATCAGCTGCTTTAGGAGGAATACTTGGTCTATTGTGCTACGGTTGCGTCGGAACCCACACTGATAATCACCGACGATTCTTTCCGCGTATGGTTCAAGTTTGTCTAGCAATACGTAGGATAGAACTTTGTAAGCGGTAGACAGCATTGCAATTCCCCTGTAGTTTGCACACGTCTTCTTGCAGCCTTTTTTGTGGACAGGGCATATGATACCTACAGTCCACTCGCGAGGCTGTCTTTCTGTGTCCCAAACTTTCTTTAGCACCCTGTAGAGTCTCATTTGTAGGGCATCTCCTCCATACTTCCATATTTCTGCTGGCAGTCCGTCCACACCCGGCGCTTTGTTGTTCTTTAGCCTCTTGATCGCTTTCTTAACTTCTTCAAACGACAAAGGGGCGACATATGTGTCCGGTACCACCTGCACCACCGGAGTTACACGTTGCTCCACCTCGGGGCAATTAAGAAGCTCCTGGAAGTATTTACGCCACGCATTCCTTAATTCTTCAGTCCCCGCAACAAGATTTCCCTCCTCATCGAGCAGAAATTGTGACGTAGGTTGGTATCCCTTCTTAACGGATCTCACTTCTCTGGAAGAACTTTCGCGATTCGTTGGCTCTCATCAGCGTTTCCATATTTACGATGATATCCTCCAGATGCCTCCTTTTGGCTCTGCGGAAAGCATATGTTACTCAGTGATAATGTAGCTTTCTAATAAAAAAGGAATTATTAAAATCTGTCTAGTACTTTTTGAGTTTATCCGTTACATACAAAAATACAAATCTTGCCTCTTTATAATATTAGTATAGATACCTGTAAATCACGACGCTTTGTTGATTGTTCTAGCGTCATCAATCTTAAAAGATAGACATATATTTTATTATATTGCGGACATCATTTTAGATCATTTAGAGAAAAATCATTCTTTCAAACGCTTTTTGGGTATCTGGAATCGTTATTGCAACGCACGCAACAGAAACCCTCAAAGATGAATAAAGTCCGTTTTTACCACATTCCTTCGCTCCGATTGGTCTCATCGTTTAGTTTTATAGCTTAACGCATTCCTCGACAAATGCTCTAACCAACACAAAGCTTTCAATCTGAACCAGTAGTTCCTGGGATTAGCGTGGTCAAACAAACCAATTGTTTTAGTTTAGAATATAGATAAAATTCATAACTCCATTCGTCGGTGAAGTATAGACTTCTACAATTGCGTAGCTAAGAGCTACGAGTCGACTATTAGTAGTCGAAGATTACTGGAAGGGCAGTCCACCACAAAGCATTGGATTAAAAAAAATCATACACCGAGGCCTCGTTGTCCGTCAAATCCTCAATCAATGTCCGTAAACCATTAAAAAAATCCCGCTTTAAAAAGCAGCCAAAAATATTATTGTTGTCAACATTTCTTTGTGAAACCAATTTGATTACAATTTGTATAAAAATGGTGACAGGTGTCAATAAAGAATCTTATTATATTTTTTTGAGTAGGTACTCTTGAAGCACTAGAAAGCATATATGTATTTTAATATATATATATTGTAAACAAAATATAGCTAGACGATATTAAGTATATAATATGTATGCTTGAGTTTTACTGACTATGATGAACAAAATGATCCGTGGTATAGAAAAAAAGATTCTGATAACATATAATCAATGTGTCTCAGCGAAGCTAATTAAAACTTGTACAAGTATTTCGTCATATTAAACAATGAGGTCGTCGATAAGGATATAGTTTATCAAGTTTATCATAGGTAGGGTAATATGAAATATCATAGGGTGTTATACTCATTGGTCAACCCAACCAATAATAAGGAATTATGATTCACAGATTAGTTCTTGTAAAATATACAGATTTTAAATATTTTTTTCTTATTACACTTTAAATATAAACATTTATCATTTATTCTACATTTCATTTAAACCAAAATAAAAATTTACAAAAAATAGGTAAGATTTACCTATTTTTTGTAAATTTTTTCCTTATGTAGGTTTGATTCCTGCCCAACGATTAGTCTTGTATTTCGCCTAGCAATAAAACGCTTTTATGTTTGTCCAGAGGTCGAGCCCAGGTAATAAGGTATTTAAATTCTTCTCGGATGCGGCTAAAATGTAAAGACCAAGTTAGCAATATATTGTTGACATGATAATGTGTGTAACATGATGAATAGGTGAAATGAAAATATCTGATAATGACTCACCGCAGCTAGTGTCATATAGCAGATCATAAAAAAAATACTTTCATAAAAAACGCATTGTAATTGTCGCTAGGCAATAAGCAAAATTTATTTATTTAATGTTGAGAACACCAGAATATAATTAACAATATTTATTATAGCAAATTAAAAGGTATCACTTTAAGTCAGACTAAAATTATAAAAATTGCATTACTTATTATTGTATACTTACGTATAGAATAAAAAAAGCAATTAAAAGACAAAGTCCTGTTTATTGCCTTTTTTTATATCATATATACGACATTGGCTTCGAGCGAGTGATTATAATTAATTAAAAAATAAGTATTATCTTTCAGTAGCAAAATTAAAATAAAAAAATACATTTACAAAAATTGAAGCCATATAGACGGCGAATAAATAATATAGCAGTATTCCTAATATGTTTTTAAAACAAGTAAAGTTTATATACTTGTTATTTAGATTAGGAGATAATATTTGTGGGTTGTTTTTAAGTCGCTTTTATCAAGAAATTGTTTAGTGTTTATCGTTGAACTTTCGCACTGATTATTACGTCATTTGTGTCTTCTTTAAGGCTTAGGAGATGTAGAATAATTAATATGGAATCCAACAACTAGAGTCTGGCATATTAAAGAATGATATGAATTATATGTTGAAAATTCAGTCCTACATGGTTTAAGATACACATGCTGCCGATAAATACTAACTGATCAATTCGTTGTAATGTTAATCAAGTAACCTTATCGACGGAAATAATATTTTCTATTTGTGCCGCGATTTGAACGCAGTTATGTGTTCTTTTCTGTATTTTCTTCTTATTATTATTCTTTTATATGTAATATACAAAATTGTAAGTTAACGCATGACATTGTAGGATGCGTTAAAAACACGTGTAAAAAGAATAGTGGTCATACACTGTTTCCCCAAGGTGGTACTACTTAGTAACAGACAAGACTATAATATTATATCTAATACGTATCTCCATTCTAAGTTGCTTTTATTAATTACAAAACTACTAAGTTACGGGTCGTCTGATGTTTTTCAATGTTGTCTTCGTGGTTTTTTTTCTAACTTTTTATGTATTATTCTATAATAATATGTTTCTTTAATACCCAATTAGCTCGGTTTCCCATGATTCCTGGCGACGATTTTGTAATTGTAAAGAAAGAGATAATATTTCTTTTGGATTGTAATAAGAATGAATTTGAAGATATTTGAGGAAAAACGTATATGTTTATTTCAGTTCTACATCAATTCATCTGGTCACATAGAAAATAAATAAAAAATAAGAGGTTTTACTTTTTTCTCCCAATTTAATTTTCATTTTATTTTAAATTATGTTGTGCTCTTAAACTATTATGAATAATAAAATGATTAAGCGATATTATATATTCCAAACTACTTATGTTTTGTGCAAATTCATCTTTAAGTTAATAGACTTGCCGCTCATTGAGTCAGTTTGCATTTATATCCCAACTGGGAAAGTCCTTTTCTGTGAGGTGTAGTGCAGAATTGTGTTTCGTGCTTCAATATTCTTTTAAAGTCTAGGTAATTGTAGCAAACATTATTTTTATAAGTATTCGGGAATAACATTAAACCTTTTTTGAGCAATAATTTTTATAAATTTAATAAAAGTTCCAAATTCAAAATTTTGATACTGTCTAAATATAACATTGAAAGCTTTTTATTAATAAGGAAAACTGGGGTACCTGCAATTCTAATAATAAGGATACAAATATAATCATTTTAACAAATAAATGATATAAGTACATATTATATTTGAGTTTTATAGTGTTATAGGTCTCCAGCAAGTTTTCTTTAGGTGTTAAAATGAAATGAGAGTAACATGGTACTTTTTATTTATATTTGCATTCGTATAGTCATGATGCATTATTAATGACTATTGACTACGTGAACTATCAACTTTAATTTTGAATTGCAAAATTGCACGCTGTCTCTTCAAGGTTGTCTCTGAAATTTATCAATAGTTGTGACAATAATACAATAGTTGTATGTTTTATATTTATTACTCGAAATATACTTAAACTTTATTTTTTAATCCAGGCATTTATATTTTAACTTAATACAGTATGTGTTTAAAAATCGCGCCACTTCAATTTCTGCACAGATTACACATGTTAACTTGTTTTAGGTTATATTTATGTACAACGAAAACAAAATATATCAACCAATAGCGAAGGACTGAATGACAGACAGTGTGAGATTAAACATCGCCGATTGGTTGAAATTTTAGACACCGCAGCGCCATCCCAACGTTATAAATATCAGTGTGAGCGCGCGCCGGGCCTCTTTTCCACAGTATTAATTCAAGGGGTTTTGTCGTGTTATTTTTGTGAGCTAACTCTAAATTCAGAATGCCGGAAACCTCCAAAATGAATGGCTATGCAAAAACAAACGGCCACAGTTATGACATGGAAGATGGATCAGTGTTCCTATTTACATCAGAATCCGTTGGCGAGGGCCATCCAGGTTAGTTCTTCAGATTACAGGAATATTGTGATAATATTTAAAAAATGGCCGACTTTAAACATGTGCGCAGATATAGTGGCATTAGACAATATATTTTTATTTAAATATAAGTCAAAGCAACAAAAAGGCTATGATAATTTTCACATGGTTTAAGAATTGCGTTCAGTTACATCATAGTATCTGGGTCATGTTATGTTTTATGATAATCAAAACACGTGGTTGGATCATTAAAATGACCGCGACAATCAATTTCAATTTCTTCATAGTAACCTAAGTTGTAATTTGATAACCTTATTTCAGACAAGATGTGCGATCAAATAAGTGATGCTATCCTCGACGCTCATCTATCCCAAGACCCTGACGCAAAAGTTGCATGTGGTAAGTCTTCCAGGCAAAAAACGATTTAAGTAAATTGTCGCTTATAATAGTATAATAATTGTGAATTCTCTTTTTAGAAACGGTTACAAAGACTGGGATGGTCTTGTTGTGCGGTGAAATCACATCAAAAGCTATTGTTGATTACCAGAAGGTTGTGAGGGAAACTGTGAAACATATCGGCTATGATGATTCTTCAAAAGGTAGATAATATTTAGTAAATAAACACAATACCTAATAGATTACATTGGCATTGCGCCAGATGGTGTAATATTGAACTGCGTTCAAAATTGTCGCCGAGTCTTGACCTCCAATGAAAATCTAAATTATGTTTCACGCACTAGGTTTTGATTGGAGAACACTAAATTTATTAGTGGCACTTGAACAACAAAGTCCCAACATTGCCGAAGGAGTTTACCAAGACAGAGAGGAATCTGACTTTGGGGCAGGAGATCAGGTATAGATTCCAAAGGGACAGTGCACGATAAGGGGATAAATTTTATAGGCATATGCATGTTGGAAATTATCACATTCATGGTATCAACATTTAGCATTAAGATAATTATGACTCCTGGTCCAAATATACAAAATGGACGATAGGAACATCATTTAACTGTTAAATCAATTAAAAATGCATGTTGGGTCAGGGTTTGATTACAAGACATGCAGCGTGATGCTGGCATTGGATCAACAATCACCAAATATCGCTGCAGGGGTGCATGAGAACAGAAATGATGAAGAAGTTGGGGCTGGTGATCAGGTATGCCATGACATCATTTATTGGTAAATTTATCTATTCATAAGATTCTGCAGTATTATAATTATTATTTCATTGAAAATTACTTTTTAATTTCTACATCTACATTATTATGTATTTTAAAATGTTCAATTGAATACATTACAGATAACACACATTTTTAGTTATTACATATTACTTTTAAACCATAGTGTTTTGTTAAACTTAATAAGATTCATAGAAATGTTTCTTTATAATTACATATTCTGTAATGTAACAGTCCAGAAAATTACCATGTTTCTGGGCAATATCTAATATGTAGTAAAACTAGAAAAAGTACACAATTGATAATAATTATGTAATTCTGTGAATTCAAATAACTTCAAGAGAATTTGATTATGGTATAAAAACAATACCTCCTACCTATAAAAAAACACTCAAAAAAAGTTATTGATAAAGCACAAAAAATATGTACGCATTTTTGTAATGTATGGTAATTATATATTATCGTATTTTTATTTGTATGTCATTTGTAACAGGAACTGGGTAAATAGTATTCAAAATTATCAATTCAATTCTCTTTGAATTTCATGAATATCTGCAACACACACCTATCATTAACCTATCAATAATATTGTTAAGTTGATGTTTTTCAAACAGTATAAATATTTCTCTCTTCCACAACAGTATAACTATTTATTTCGATCCACGGGGGATTTTGTTATATGTAAACATTTAAATTATAATTTATGGGTTCTCATCCCATCAAATTTCATTATAGCATTATGGTAAATCAAGTTGGGTTCTTGATTCTCATCAAGGTTCGTAAAGTATGAATGAAATTTCTAGAACTGAACAAAACAAAAAAAAAAAAATACAGCAGATTTCTGATTTTTTTCAATTCTAGTTGGAAAATCATTCAACAAGGAGTTGGTTAGCTATTATTATGCAATTTCATCACACTACATTTTATAGGATATTTGAAAAATACTGTTTTTCTACGCAGGGATTAATGTTTGGCTACGCTACTGATGAAACGGAGGAATGTATGCCTCTAACTGTTGTACTCGCTCACAGACTCAACCAGAAAATCGCAGAACTTCGGCGCAACGGCGAGTTTTGGTGGGCGCGTCCAGACTCAAAGACACAGGTATCCACATAACAAACTAGTTTTAGCTTTGTTCGACTGGTCCTACCTTGCTAATGTCATTATTATACCATCATTACAGCAGTAGAAGCTTTAAACTGCACACAAATATAATTAACTAGTAGGAGTAACTACATATAAGCGTAAATATTGTACATATTTCAAAAATACTCTTGCATGGTTTTTATTATCAAGTGTTTTGAAATAGGAAACTTCTTTTAGATAAGATCTTTATTGTTATTCAAATTAAATAACAACAACAATGGTATCGGGGGTTAACAGCAATCAGCAAAGGTTCTGAAAATATTATTTTACTTGATTTGTATTTCAATAGCAAAAATGGAATGCGTCATCCTCCAAATGAATCGGAAATTAAATTTGTTTTTATGCAATGTTTATCCTTATGGTTTATTAGGAGATTTAATTGTAAAGGACGAGGAAATTCATTTAATTCAAGGAAATATTAATTTTATAAACAATTGTAATCTTGAGATCAAATTAACTTTTATCCTTATTCCTTTGCGTTTGTTATTTTCATTAAAAAATCAATTGCATGTCTTTAGTTTTAGCTAACAAAATGATACATCATATTTTTCTTATTAAATTTACTTGTATCGTTGTTCTAAGTTGTTAAATCTTAATGTTGCGTTAAAGTCATGTAACGCCAATTATTATTACAACAATATTAATGACGTGTTGTTTGTGTAGGTAACTTGCGAGTACACTTTTGCCGGAGGCGCGACCGTGCCCCGTAGAGTACACACCGTTGTCGTCTCCTTGCAACATTCTGAGAAGGTAATTATAATATTTTTTTCTAATTTTAACGTGTGATCACATGTTCAAACAACGCTTTGTTTAATTATACACATGTATAGTATGTACATTATAGATAAATAGTGTTATTGCGTCCTTTTTTAATTGGCTATTAAAATGTATTAAAAAGGATTGCTTTTGAAGCCTCACTTTTATATTAAATTCGCAATTAGAAATATTTCAAATTAATGTTTACCACATGATTAACTGTTTTACAAATGCTATTTGTTTTTATTATATATCTAATATGTTATTGGATATTTGTTTCTAATGTAAAATCGATTTCAACATAAACTTGTTACTTAAAGATCACCCTTGAAACACTCCGTGACGAAATAAGGGAGAAGGTGATCAAAGAAGTTATTCCAGCACAATATCTCGACGAGAAAACCGTGGTGCACATAAACCCCTGCGGACTTTTCACCATCGGTGGACCTCAAGTAAGCAATTTTTATATTTTCATAATTACGCGAATAAATTACATATCTCTGATTCCATTAATATTTATAAAATAGTTTTTCTATGTTATTTAAATAAAAACACTTTAACGGTTTTAAAAGAGAAGTACATTAGAAACTTATCTTCTATGTTATTTAAGTATGATAGCTTAGCTGTAAGTTCAAAAGTGATATATTTAGTGTTAAAAAATGTTTGTTTAAGTAATTGGTTTAAAAGTTTTTCCCTACTCTAATTAAAAATATTATGTTACTAGTCGGATGCTGGTTTGACTGGCCGTAAGATAATCGTAGACACATACGGAGGGTGGGGCGCCCACGGTGGCGGAGCTTTTTCCGGAAAGGACTTCACAAAGGTCGATCGCTCTGCTGCATACGCTGCACGTTGGGTAGCAAAGTCTCTCGTCAAGGCTGGTCTCTGCCGTCGTTGCATGGTTCAGGTTAGTATCACGAGAGTAGTAATGCTTGACACAAAAGTTAAAATCCCATTTTTTCTAACTTCATTACATGTTCCAAAAATACCAGCCTGCTTTCTTGATGTAAAGCAAAAGATTTTGACAGCAAAAAATAGTGCGCAAATAAGGTTTTCATAAACTAGATAGAAAAGCAATATCCATTCTATAGGACTAGATAATATTGTATTAAACAAAAATTATTATTTTATCAGGTTGCTTATGCTATTGGAGTTGCAAAACCCCTGTCTATCACAGTCTTCGACTACGGCACATCACACAAGACTCAACAACAACTTCTTTCCATTGTTCTCAAGAACTTTGACCTTCGACCGGGAAAAATTGTTAAGTAAGTATTTGAAATTGCATATACACAATTACATTTATCAGATATACATAGCATGTAATAGCAAACAATCTCGAAAGATTACAATGCCATGCGTTACCGCGAATTATTCACGCTTATCAATCTAATAAAGATTCCATAACAGAATTTTATACTAAAACTGAAGTGTTTAACGTATTATGTTATGAAAATTATGTCTACATTTATTTTTATCACCTCCAAAACAATAATTATTAATTTAAAAGAACTTCATGGAGTTTAACCGCGTTTTGGTTTCAGTCTCAATTTCCGAATATGCAAAGACAAAATAAATCGACAGCACATCTGGTTTGTGTATTTTACCTATCACCTAGTAACCTCATGCTAGTCTGTCCTCCTTATATATTTAATCCGCAGACAGTTTTAAAACCCGTCTTAACTAAGACATATATCTCATTGGAATTCTCAAATTTTCAGGGACCTGAATCTGAAAGCGCCTATATATCAGCGCACATCGACGTACGGTCACTTCGGACGGGAGGGCTTCCCGTGGGAGACTCCGAAGCCCCTCGTCGTAGATTGATTTGCGACACACCCTAGGCTATTGTAAATATTTCACCAGTATATTTGAACACTTGTATGTGTGTTTCGTAGCGAGAGCGAACACTTACGTCTCTCTATAGATTATTTGTAATGAGGAGTCGACTCGACTCGCACCTATTCGATAAGTATTCTTTAGCGTAGTTGCATAGGCGTAACGTCATTTCTGAATTTGAGTTAGTTTGGGAGTGCAGCCCGCAGTTCCGCCATTTAACATAAATTTAAACTCTGTTGTAACCGCTGGCCGATATTGTGCACTCAGTGTTATTTATGTTATCGTGTTTTGTACTTTTTAATTTACAATAATACTTTGGGTGGTAAAGCTGCCATATCTCGAATTTCATATTTCGCCCTTTTAATTTTAAGCGCTAAGTGAATCGGTGACGCCGGCTACTTCTCTGAGCGCGTCACAGTGCAGCGAGGTTGGCCTCGAATATCTACTTTGAGATTTCATTGATATCGATTCTATCTCTTAGACTAACTGTAACGCATAATAGTGGGATTGCACAGATGAAATTGTTCCGATAGAATTCGCCCACATTCAATGAATTTTAGGTAGGTAGGGTATCGTAGTAAACATTTAAAAAGTCAGATATGTCCTGTGATATTATTTTCGTATCTGTACGAAGATGTTATGTATCCTCTCCTAGACTTAACTGAGCCTAGAGCTTCTTATCAATGAAATGTCAGTGGTGGGTCGATGAGGTCTCTCAAAGCACTGCAAATGCGGTAGTGCGCACGAGGTGCCATCGTCGATGATAGTATAAGTTTCACATCCGCTCCGAGCACCGTCTAGTTGTCAATAAGCCTTCGCCCGCCTCTTGCGCACTAAGATTTGTGTTGTGTTTCCGAAAAGGATCGAAAGTGGAAAAGAGCCATTTTGAAAACACACCGACTCGTTCAGGGCAGTAGCGTACCGTGCATTTATAATGCTGCCGATGTCTAGATGAAGTTGAACATTATGGAATTAGCATAATATTTAGAATTTTGATTATTATTAGTAGTCGGGTAGTGACTAATTAATGTGATGTGGTATTTTTCGATCTGTTTCGCCCGTTAACACCTATTGACTAACTGTGGAAATTAAATTTGTCATGTTGTGGAATTTTAAAATAAATGTATTCTTGGCATGATCGGGAATTTGAATAAACACTTTTTTACTTTTTGTATCCCTGCTGTGTAGATATCAAATGTAAATAATATTACTTAAAGTTGTAAAATTTTATTTAGTTGCATTTTTAAGTTACGCCAACCACTTTGCAATTAGTCTTCTAGCGGCCTGCTGGGCGTTTGTCATACGGATGGTGTCCGTGACGAGCCAACTTTGCATATCGAAGCAGTGGGATGCTCTGTAAATGACAACATTGTTAGTATACTCTCAAAAAATCATGAGCTTAATGGAAGTGTTATTATATTATAAACATTGATGGTATTGCTAAATATAAATACGAAAGCAATTTAAAATGTAAAATAAGATTACCCGGGATAAAGCATTAAGACGAAGGCGTTATAAAAGATACTAATAATTGACCTGAATTCATATCTTACACTAACACGTCCGATTGGACGTCAGGACATCATTGGACAGGAGTTACCAGAAAAGGATTTTAAAAAGTTGTCTGCCCACAAACCTTGTTTATGATTTATGGAAATCTGTCTGACATCTTTCTATCGGTTTTTTACTGAAACCTAACGAACGTACCCTAATATAGGTACTACTTGTGTCATTTATAAACATTCAATATTATAATGAGCGATTATCACCTACCTCGGTACTGCATATGTTGGTGAAGTTTCGGACAAATCTCGGTCATACACTCCAAGGTCATGCCAGGGGTCGATAACACCGTGTATGTTTATTGTGTTATTGACATTTGGGTTGAGACCACCAAAAACACGGTTTACCCGATCCGCCGCTGCGTATACGAAATCTTCGTTGAATCTGAAAATGAAAAAATGGTTAACTCTGTTTAAGTTAAAAAGTGACTTTTCTTAAAATTGAAAATCTAATATATACTAGTTCAATATCTAAACTTCATATGGCTTCATATAAAGAACTATAGGCATGGGACGGATATATTTATCTGTTCGATACACTAATCGGTTTTAATAGGCACGAAATTGTCAAACTTCTATGTCCGACCTAAACATCTTATTGTTGCTCGGGATTTTAACACCCATCGTGCCTAACAGCTAGCACTAGCTAGGTTTGTTTAATCGAATCCAGAGAACCTATTACAAATATGTTTAATATTAATTTTAAAGGAATTACCATATATGAGCGAACCCCCCATTTATTGCATATTACAATTAATTGAATGATTTAAAATAGTGAGTAACTTTGGCTTAAATTTTAGAGTGACTTAAAGATTACCTCGGATCATATGATCGCTCACAGAGATTAACGTAGAAGTTCACAGTAAGCCATCGCAATTGGTCAAATACGGTTCCAATACGTGGCGCTGTCTGGTAATACCCGTATTCCGTGCACGTCTGGTAATACCATGCACGCGCTAAAAAAACGTGCATATTTAAACGTTATGTCATCATATGGGATAGTGCAAGATGTCTTGGCATTAAAAAAAGACCCCTACATTTTGAAATATCATAAAATTATAAATCTGGAAAGTAAAATTACAGCAGTACGAATAGTCCAGTTTCGAATCGGCAATAGGGAGGTGGTAAATCGTATAGCCGACCAGAAACCACTAAACACACCACCACCCTTGCTTTGAAGAAGACGAATATACCTAATGTTACTTAAATTCTTCTGACCGAAGATTTCAACCTTAAATGTTTAGTCATTAGGATACATATTGAATGCAATAGTAATTACTTACAATTATCATTACGGACTCTGTAGTTCTCTACGTATGCTTCATAATTAATGTTAAAGCAATTGCTTGGATTACGAATAGCAATAACATAGCCAGCAATTTTTTCCATTGGGGTTGTACCTGAAAGTTGTAATTTATATTATGTTAGGACACATGCACAGCTATACTTCACTAAATTATTTATTTTCCACCCTAGTAAAACTTGATTTAATTGATAGTAATGTAATGATACAAAGATTTAGAGACAATAAGAATAGCATTTTGATGGTTTTAAATGATACTCTATTTCGAATCTCTTGTAGTTTATTTACTAAATGTGCAGAAGGCTGAAAAAACTGATTCGAAGAGGCAATCGATTCAGATGTTGATTAAAATGCTTATACAAGGAAAATATGCGGCGAGAAAAAATTCTAGAAATAGAAGAAGCATGTTTATGCTTTAAATGTCGTTTGAAAAATATTGATATACAAAAATGTACCGTATGTGTCCGTAGCGAAATTATTGCAGATCACTCGAAGTGTGCCAGGTCGCGCTTGTTGTACAGATGTTGAAAATGTCCAGCTTAACAGACCGGAGAAATATCCCAATTCAAATTCGTTTGTGTAGTTCAGAGGTGCACACAGTCTGTAATAATATTATTAACGCAAATATTATGATCCCATACACTTATTTAAGGTTTGTAATCAGTAATGTATCTAAAACTTTAAGTTACAACATTAATTTTCATATTCACATATTTGCTCTAAATATTTATGAAGTAAATAAATGCGTTGCGATACGATAGGGTCGAAATATTGATACTCTATCGGCAGTCGAAAAGTCGATATGACAATTGACTAATATTAGATAGGTCAAAAGATTAGAATACCCGAAATAGCGACATCTCAAAAGACCGACAAATACCTTTAAATTTGTCGGTCCTTTGAAATGATCATTTGAATCTGGTTTCTCAGCTTATCTTAATCTGAACATTTTTATAAGCGTTCCAGGATGAAATTCTTGTTGTACAAGTAAAGTATTTACCTGAAAACTCGTTCCAAATTCCGTTGTCCCTCCTGAGTGTTCATCGAAGCTATCGTGTCAGCTAACCCTTGCCTGATTGTTGCCATGCATTGATCGCCCCCCCTCTGATTGAAACGCTCTGTGCACTACCTCCAAATATCCTGAAAAATTAAAAAGTATTTCAAAGATATCATATTTATTTGCAAAATGTGTAAAAATCTGCACTTATATTTATATGCTCAACAAGTAGTAATAGTGAATTTGTTTCCAACTTAATTCTCTTAATATAAAATTTGTACATAAATGTTTTTTTCTTAAAGAAGACTGACCTGTAAAATCCACCTTGGCTAAAATAGGCCCACTGGATCCAACACCACCGACTACCAAATGAGGGTATCTCTGTTTGAACCAAATGACCATGTTAGCAGCGTACGAGCCACCATATAAAATCACTTTACTATCAGCAAAGCGAGGGTGAGTTTTCATTTCCTGAATAAAGTAAGCCAAATCTGCTAAAGCTTGGTCTACATTTAGGAAACGTAGATTTTCCGTTGTAAGGTTTCTGTAACAGTACATAAAACTTGTGAATTTAAGCCCCAAAGTAAGATGAAGGAAGTGAGCTTGGTGAATAGTGCTGACCCACCAAGCTTATCAAAAAAGGAAAATCATCGTCTGTAGTACTTGCGTAATACTTGAAGACTCCTATACTCGATAGTACTTACTGATAAGGCTTCGATTCTCCATAATATCTATGTTCAGTATAGAACATATATCCCTTATTTTCTCGCGCTGCCTCATACATATTCCCAGCACGAAGCCAGCCCTCTACAATATCCCATTCTCCGCCAACAAGAATAAATAGGGGATTACCATCGCCACCGAAAAACTCATCGTTGTACATGAAACGCTGAAAGTTACGCAAATAGTACACATTTAATTTATTAGTGAAACGTATTTGGAAACGATTTTAACTACGACCCGACGTTTCGGATGCTTTGTAAGTGTTTTCTTTAAACTTAACATACGACATCAGACACAAGAAACCATTCGTTTATTTTACACCTTACCATTTGATAAGTATTTTTGTTCTGAGGATCAAAATGATCAATAGGCATCGTGATCCAGCTTGTTAGGACATTAGATGTGGTGAGGAAGTTAACGTCGCCTGGTGATGAGAGGTCTACACGAAGGGGTGGGTCTATAAACTCTTCCGCCCATATCACAGGTAGTAAACACAGCACTAGATAGAAGATTATCTGAAACATAACATGACGTTTAGATGAAAAAAGGTTATCATTAACGATAGGAAAAAATATCTTTTAATTTTTCCTTTGGTGGGCTCGTGGGTCTACTGGTAGAAGGGTAGGGTCGTTGGTTCCTTCACCGGGTTCAATGTGTTTCTAACAAATTTATAATTGGACACATGTTGGACTTCGTCGGGCAATCTGGATTTGATATGAATAAGAGGTAGGAGTAAGTTCATTGGTCAGGGTTAAAAAACCACTGTTTTTAGAAGAAAAAGAGGTGAAGTTTTATCGCGTTTCGGTTTCAGTCTGTAGATTTTCATCCAAAGTCAAAATAGGTCGGCAACTCACCTTCTTTAGATGTTATATGGCTGGGATATTTCATCAAGTGAATTCCATACTTGTTTATCATCATAAAGTATATATAAAAAAGTCAATATAGAAAATATTTTTTTAGTATAAGTAAAATAAATAAATAAAATTTCGACTGTCTTCGGTCTAAAACTTCATCTGTTATCTAACTGTATGCAAAGAATTAGAAGACGAGAGAAGCAATCACATTCGCATTTATATTTTGTAGATTTTATTTGTTTTAAATGACCCAGATTCAAGCGTATATATAAGCAAACAATTTCAAATTTTAAATAATTGTTTAAGGTCCATTCAAATATTAACACAACAAATGATTAATTGTACTATCTTGTTATAGTTGATTGATAGGGACCAATATTAGTTAAAGGATCAACAAACTCTTAAAATATTTAGACTTACCATTTTAAAATCTATTGCAGCACATACGGCATTGACGCCCAAATAATTATGCCATGTTATCTTTTCAATTGGAGATATAATATAATTGTTGTAGATATCCCAGATTACAATAAATGATTACGATAAAATAAAACACTAACGGTTTAAAACGCAATATATATACTAGTTATACTTTTGTAAGTATAAGTTCGAAATTTATTATAATTACGGCCCGACCTTTCGGAAGCTTTGCACCAGTCATTGTCACGGGGATACTGATATATATCGCGTTTAAAACCGTTTAAGTGTTTTATTTAAATGTGTACTACGCACGTTAACTACAGACAGTATTTGATTACTTTTATTAAATATCACACAGCATTATGTAAATATGTTGTTGAAATGTTTTGTTATGTTCTAGAAAGTAAAAAACATTTTTAGAAACTTCTACTTAATTTAATAATTAAAAAATCAAACCTTTAATAATTTTAAAATACGAAAATACTATAAATTATCTTTATTAATAGTACTATTAATCTTATCACTTACAGATAAAATATTTGTATGTACATCTTGGTGTTCACTCCACAAATGTATCTTTAGGTAGCATTGTTTTAATATTAGAATTTTGCCTAACCTTTTTAAATAAAACGCTTTAAGGGTTTAAAACGCGATATATATTCGTTAAACTTATTTTAAAATTTATTTTTAAATTCGACAGTCTCCCCGTGACCACGGCTGCTGCAATGCATCCGAAACGTCGGGTCGAACTTAAAATTAATTTTCAAAGGAGTTTAACTAATATATATCGCGTCTTAAACCGTTAGTTAAAGTGTTTTATTTCAATGTGTACTACTTGCGCAAACTATAGACAGTTTATGTATTACCTAGTTATTCAAATGCGAAACATTATCATAGTGCATTTTATTATAGGATACAAATTAGTTAAAGCTTAAAATAATAAATATCAATAAATTAACATTTGTCCCCGTAGAGTCTACTGCAGTCTGATATGGGGCACATGAGCTTTCTGCTTGCTTTTCCGTTTGCGATGTAGGGTGTTTGTCCTAAGTAATTACCACTGAAAATAATAAATTAATGGCAACTGAATATACGGGTTGTTGTGTTACGAATGTCTTTTATTATAAAACAGGACAGGACAGGCAAGGATAGGGTTTGCTTGATGGTAGATTACCCCAGCCATATAACATCTAATCAAGATGCACTGTCTATGATTTTGGACGTAATAAACTTGATGGCTTATTCATCGGTGCTTCGTGACCCGGACAGAATTTCGATATTCCTACCACCCTATTTTTATTTATTTGAAAAATGGTGGTCCCGGTAGGGATCGTACATACGACACGTTCATTATTAGCCAGAAATTGATACCACTATACCAACGAGCCCGTCATGTCATTGCAAACGTATGTACCAAAAATTACCGAATTTTAGTGCTAATACCAACTTGGTAATTATTTTAACGACCTCGCATCGCATTCGTGAGTCGTAATTATTTGTAAAAAAAATATCACAGAGATGGCATTTTAATTAGTTTTTTTTTAGAATTACACAGGAAATAAAGAACAGAGATAATTTTAAATTTTTTTAGAGACGTATGAAATAGTAAACTAAGGAAATGAACTGACCCTGGTCCATAGTTACAAACGACGTAGTAATTAACCATTCCATTTTTTTGCGCCTTTGATACGCCGCAGCCCAAATAAATAGAATTCGACCACACCATCTAAAAACAGATTTTATAAGCACAATTAAAATAACGGTGTAATGACGTTTCTCGCACATGTGATTGACATAGTTGTGTCTTATTAACCAAACGGTTTTAACTACATGCAAGTTCTGTGTCCTGCCCGACCGAATCCTACATCAAACCCTCTCGTTCTAAACGTTCTTGTAAATGCGATAAAGGCAATCAATGACAACAGCTTGTATAAAACCAACCGCAAATAAATATAATACATATTATATAATATAATTATTTATATATATTATAAACTGGTAAAATAAACCTGTGTCTTGCCTACCTGTGTATAATGTCCAATCATTTTTGAAGACTGAAAGTGTGATGCAGTCAAAGGTCCGAAAGAAAAATCCTTGTGTTCGTTGAACCACGAATCTAGTGCACTCTTTGGGTCAAATTTGTAGCTTAAGTCAGTTGATGCCGACCAGAATATATTTTCACCAGTCTCAAACCGGTCAGATCCTGGAAAGGCGCGACAATATTAAATAAATCGATACAAATTAACAAACAAACATTAAACGTTTGAAAACTTTAATTATTTTTTACATGTTATTGCACATGAAGGCACGATACTATTTAAAAATCGAAAAAAACGAAAAATATTTTTCGACTCGGGCAGGACTTGAACCGGCATTGTTAGCGTTCCCTGCTGTTGCTATACCAATTGAGCTACCGAGTCGGCTACGAGACTCGGTAGCTCAATTGGTATTTTTTCAATTTTTAAACATTAAACAGTTAAATATTTTCAAATAGTTTTCAATAATTCAAGGATTTAAAAAATAATTAATGTGATTCTTATTATTGTTTTTTTTTAAATGTTAATAAATAAAACAATTACCAATAGTTCTATCTGGATTGTGTGCAAATTCGTGTCTTGAGGCCCATTTCGCTGCCTTAGCAGCTAACTCTTCGTCCCAAACCTATAAATACACACAGATATATCTCAAACGGTACTCTCATGAGCAGCAAAATATTTACGCAAGATAAGAACTTACGATAAATTTCATTTCCGCAGCTGCTGGCTGGTTGGGTATTTCTCCCTTGGCTAGAAGCAGTCTCCGAGAGTTATGACCGTCCACGAAACTCTGTATTTGTCTGCATGTTAGTTCAGCTAAAAAAAAATATAGATTATTACTTACATATATGCAACTATTTTGTTTTTGATGTAAAGACACATTTCGTTTTTTGCACAAAGATGTAATTGTAAGTTTGAAAAAGGTACTGACTTTTACACGTCACGTAAGAAATCAAGGAAAAGAGAAGAGCAATGCGAGTATACATTGTTTAGGGCGTTATGCGCGATAACAAACTCAAGACTGTACACCGAAACTGGCTTTAAACGTTTAAATATACGTGAGTGACGCTAGATCCAAATGTAGGTAGGTAAATAATATAGGAACCGCTACCAAAGAGTGACTAAAGCTTTATCAATATAAAAGTAATATTTATTACGTGGAACGTATGCCTAAATATTACTCAGGATGTTAAAAAATGTCTGCCTGTTTATGTATGGCATATGTAGGTAAATAGGCATAATCATGGTATCTATGTTAAATGTCTGTTTCTTTGGCTAACCCCTGAAATGGTTGAATCTATCTAGACTATTAAAATTCATGTTGTAAAGACAGTTAAGCCTAGACTACCTATGTGCTTTGTTTAATTAATTTTGAAACTTTTACTAGTATAATGTAATTAAACTTTCATTTGATTTAACCTAACGGAAGTGATGAATTCTAATTTCCAGTACGTTGGGTAAGATTACAAATCCCTTTTTGATAAGCTTTTTAAAGTTAAATCGTCGATTAGTCACAAACCACTCATCGAATTCCTGGACAGGAAAATATTTATATACGTAAAGGAGAATTAGTAAGGCCTATTGTCCAAGTTTATTACCCTTGTAGAAGGGAATGAATCATGGACTTGAACGCCTGAGGTCCTTAGCTTCTAATTATGCTTAATGTCCCATAATTTAACATTGAGCAAAGAAACATCCTGTATTAGTATGTTTTTCCTACGTACGTCAGATTTTCGTTACATCAAAGCAGATAACAGTTTAGCAAATGATGGACAAGTACAACAGTGAAGTGCATAATTAAAGAAGCGTTCGAAATCAATTTTATGCTCTGAACGTGAGTAAAACGACAAGCTTTGTTTCATAATATTATGTCTCTATTGAAACAGTTTACTCGAACAGATAAAGTATGACACGCTTCTCAACGTTTAACTTAGACACGACTTTGAGGAAACCCTTGAAAAAAATCGCAGTTCTGATTTTGCAATACTTATTTCTTTATTTTAGTAGTAGCAACCGTCACAGACGTGTGTCTGCTCTTGTGCACTTTTTATGTTGCCAGACGTTTAGTTTAAGACATTTTCATGTCAAAACATGTTTTTTTAAACACATGTAGTCTCCGGTAAATATATAAAATTAAAAATTGCGTTACTTTTAAACATTTATTTCTTTGAGTTACATAATTGTTCTAAATTATATCACGACACAATGGAATTAGGAACGCGATCGATATACATAATATCGCGTATGACAATGCTTCCTAGACGTACCGAAACTACAAACAGTAGATTTAAGTTTTCCTAAATTCGTCAAAAAAAAAAAAAGTAGAAAAAATCTTGAAAAATACGAAAGAAAAAAAGTTCCGATAATTTTCATATCGGAATTGTGAACTCTGTTTCGAAAAATCGATACACACATGACTATGTACAGTACGCTTTGAATGTTTTAGATAGTTATTTTTAACTAGTGTATTTAAAACTAAAGAAAATTAGGGGCAAACATAACCGCATTCTCCAAAAAAAGGCACTTGAACCTCCATTTTTTGGATGCAACGGTTTATATTTCACATGACGTAGTATTTATTAAGTAGCTTACAAATAAGACGACAATGTAGGCTACTAAAGTTGATATGATCACATTATCTTACGAATTTAGGATTTATTGATTTCACATAGTATAAAGAGCGCAAAATCTTCACAAAAGAATGAACTACTCGATCACAATATTCGAATTCTAAAGTTTGAACTAAAAATAAAAACACGTAAAAAATATACAAAATTGTAAATCCTTGCGATTTGATATTTTAAACGAATACCATCGACCCGCATCGATTTCTACTTACTTAACAAGAACATTCATCACTTAAGTCACATAGCCCAAGAGATGACAGTAGTTTTATTTAGACTGTTATATTTTAAACAAAATCTGATCATTCATGAAGTGATCATGGAAAACCGTGGACATACGCCTGACATGGGAGAACATTTAACTGTTAAAACTCTAATGCCATCTCTTACACTACACCTAAGAACCTATACACTTACACTAAACAAAGTGATAAAAATTGATACCTAGTTTCGCTTAAACATATAAATACTACAAATGAAACCATTTGTAGGGTAAAAAAATAAAAGGATAGTCCTTCCGTGGTTTGTCATAAATTATTATTACTAGAATTGAAGACCGCTCACCGTACACACATAATATAACACTATAATTTAATGTATTACTCGTCATCACTCTTCTAGATAGTTATAATTTTTGCAGCTCTAAATTAGATTTGGAAGGGTTTTTTCTATTTTTATTAAAAAGTACCTTTTTTTCGAGTGGGTATTATTAGAAAAATATAACAACATATTGCAGTGCAAAGCTTTCTTATAAATAAGAAATCAACTCACTTGTTATATTTGCGTGTGCGGTGAGACTAACTTAAAACACTGTCCTAGTTGGTGCTAGGGCTGTCTGTTCCACTGCCGCTATTGTCGTTGGTAAGAGACTTTGCGTTCTTGTTGTTTTTCTTTGCTGATTTGCTCAACGTTGCCACCTCCTTCAATAGGTTCTGTATCTTGCTATTCATCAGATTGAATTTTGTCTCGTTTAGACGTTCCTTATTCTTCATCTCTGTGCGAAGGTCTGTTGTGTCATTATGATGCTGAGCTTTCAGTTCTGTTATCTGCAAAGCCATAGGAGTTTGTGAAATATTTTAATACAAGCCAAGCATTGATTAATTTTTCGACAGGCAAGTAGGTTTTTACATATGTTTAAAGGTACTTTCACGGAAAAGCCTGGAGATTAAATGTTATTATAATAATGCAATTAACCTTAAGTGCTTAATGCATCATTCATGAAAACTGAATTAGTTACCAGTAGAATACCATACCAGTTTATCTTTGGAAAGGAGTTCCATATCCTTCTGCTGAACTTTCTTTTGTAGGCTTGCTATAGTTTCTTTAAGTTGTGTCATCGCAACAACATGGTCAGAGCTGTTAGGGTCCAGTTCACCTGATATAGAGCAAAACAAATAATTATTTAACACAACAAAAAATACCAAACAAGAAAAACAAATAATAAAAAAAGCTAATTAAATATAAAAACAAACTGCATGCAACTGGATACAAAATTAAGGAAAAAGCTGTATGTAATTTTATTTCTCCTTTAAGCAGCACATAAGTGTGTCGCAATAAGACGTGTCTAGTGCACCAGGTGATTTTATTTGTCTTGTCTGATCGAATCAATTATTATCGACCTGCCGCTACATTTAAATTTGAGACTTAAGAGTAAAAATATGGCTACACACATACCAGTTGCCATAATGATGGTAAAAAATTATGTTAAACGGGTAGCTGTAAGTCGGATGTAAATAATGCAAAAAATAAATAAAACTTTCTACATATACCTGAAAACAAACCTTGCAGCGGGTTCAGCTTAGATTTCTTTTCCAAAGGAGTATCACCTAATGAAAGGTCATTTGAATTTGACTTCATCGAGTCAGATTTACGCTTCTCCCTGTGACTGTTTTTGGACCTGGTTCAGTAAATAAGTTAATTTCAGTTTAATCATGGCTAATACAAAAAATACAATACATCTAAAAGTATGTTCAACGTGGCTATTTAGAGAAGCAAACATTAATAATGTGGTAGAAAATATTTATAGATTTCATCCATTTCAAATGATGCTAATGCACAGGGGATAGTTTTAGCTAATGATTTTAAATGTCATACTTATATTATCACACTGGTTTTTACTTATTATTATGTGTGAGACAAAATTTACTCTGTCATTATTATATGGAACTTATTTCATATTTAGTTTTGGACTAACTTGTGAGATCTATGCTTGTGTTTGTCCATAGACGTTAGATGCTGTTTTGTACGGGCAAGAGCTCTTTTAAGTGACTGGGTGCAGAGCCAGCATAGCAGCTTGCCATCAACCTGTAAAAAAATTACATTAAATATATTTTGATATAAAGAAAACTTGCAATTTCATTAGGCAACAGTTAGAAACCAAGGTGACATTTTGTATACCTTTTTACTATCATCATGTCTATCAAATGCACATCTTTGTTTACACTGCTCACATGTAACTGCCGGTCCATATTTACGCTCTGAATTGGCACAGCGTTGACATTTGTTTCCTAGAAAATTTGACACTTAATACTAGCAGAGTAAAGTATACTAATTATCCAAATTGACCAATGATCTAGCAAAAAAAAGTACAATTTATTAGTTTAGTTAGAGTAATCAAATCAACTCTTTAGTTTTGAGCTGTGAAGCCATTCTCATTGAGGTAGAACACATCATTTGATAAGCACCTTTATGAACTAATAGAAGGTTGCCAATGATGGAAAAACTTGTATTATGAAAGAGTGCTTGAACTTAGCACTTACCAATAAATGCAGCTATGATGTTGCAATATTCACAAGCAGTAGGTTTACCATATGCCTTGACATTAGCCTCACATTTCTTACAAATTGAAGAAGTATTTGATTTACTGTAAATTATAATCAATCTTAAGGCAGTCTTACACTATACCCTACCAAAAGTGTTATATACTTATATGATTTAATAAAATTTAATTATGAGTTAAATAGTGTGTATTATAACAATCCAAAAAATGTCAGTCAGTTACATATTGTTTCTGAAAAATAAATATATATTTCAAGCCCCAATTTACTTAGTAAAGACCATCACTAATGAGTTTGAACAGTATCATAATATGTGAGAGCATTAAAGGTCTATTGATTAGAACCAATATTGGTCTAGATATTATATTATATATAACATATAAACAATGTTGTATTTAAAATAAGTTTATAATTGAACACAAAGACCTAAAACTTGGCAAGGAATTGTACATCTCAATGTGCTAATGTTAGTTGATAGAAAGTATATGAAAATAATTATTAAGAATCACATGATCTGGCAAATAACACTGACCTTGTCTGTTGAAACTCTGAGCGGCAATAAGTACATTTAACAACAGGGAAGGAACCACGGCATTCCTGAAATATCCAAACAAGATCGCGTCAGCACTGACGTCAGAAAAACAGTTATATTGCGTAGACCTGAGCTTAATATCGATGAAAATGTAAGATGCTACCTATTTCCACATAATTTGTTTCAATTACCTTACACAACTGTTCACCAGGAGACAATTCTTCGAAGGGATGTCTCGAAAAACATCGGGAACACGCAAATAATGCAGTAGACGTTGCAGAACTCATATTTTGTTTTCTAATGCAGTATATATTTAAAAGTTTTTAGCTTACTAGGAGAACTTTGAAATCAAAACTTAGAAATTGATTTTGAACATTTAACTTTAAATTTTAAAATAAATTTGAGTTACCAAAACTCAAACGAAATGATTAATGAAGTATATTTAACATACGCCATGTTTGGTTTTGTAAATTGTAATCGACGCTAACTTGACATATGTCCTCTGTCAAATGCCAAATCCAGTTGTAGTCAAATGCGACCAAACAATTTGCTCTCTGTATTCAAAATATTTAAGAGTTTTTCGCTTGTTGTGTTTTTAAGTGTTAAAGTGCTTCAATGTTTGTTCTGTTACCTATTTATTAAATCTTCATTCTTTTTAATTTTATGAAGACGTTATTTAATGCACAATCATTATGGATATCGCTCCATTCCCTCCGCAAGATTTAGCAAAACTCGTTCTTGGTAAGCTATTATTTGGCGGGAGTATGTTTCTAGTCTTAATGTGACCGTTGCGGTGCGTTACACAATGCTTGCTTTTCTAGGATATCTTGCAGAAGAGGAACTCATGACAGCTTATGATGAATTTCTCCAAGCTAGTCCATATCTGGACGCATATATGAATGAATATGATAGAATTTTTATGACATCACTCAGGAATATTTTAGCAGACTACAGAGCGGTAAAAATATATGGTAAGCATGTCATTTGAATTTAAGTAAGTTTTCAAATAATGTCTTATTTCTTTGTCTGCAATATTTTATTAACTGAGATGATTAAATTTTTCAGTTGAGACTTGTAAACCTCATGCATTACGAAGAAAATTACTACAGTGTTTGAATCTCTCGGAAATGATAAAATATTTAATAAGTGTTATAGATCCTATGAAATTGCCAAAATTCGATCATCCTGATAAGACAAGGTAATGTTGGATAATATGTTTAATATCTTTAACTGTTGATTAAAAAAAACAATTACTTTTGGATGGTACATTCCAATATAATATGTATATACTTAAATATTAAATACACAAAAATGCTTTAAAAGTATTTTTGTGTATTTGTCGTTTTGTGTGTTTGTTGCAAAAGTAGTCCAGTTTTATATATGTAAGTATATTGTGTAAGTGATAACTTAATATTTACTATGTGTAATTATTCATCTTCAGCATCTCTAAGAACCATGTGACAAAGCCAAACTGTGAAACTTGTACATTATTGAATTCAAAGAGCTGTGTTTGTAATGAAATGCCTCCAAATATCCATCATCTAAATGAAAAAATAAATGTATCATGCCCTCCAAAAGCAACATCATTAGTGGACTTACCTGGTGAGTTCGTTAAAACCCATGAATTATTGTTGATTATCTTCATTTCATGATTAAATTGCAGTTATATGTGTCAAAACTCCAGGGAAGCAAAAATATAGTTGTAACATGGTAACAACCATTTGCTTGCAAATGTTTACCAGTTACAAGCAAAGTTACATAGTTACATATGGAAGATTTTAATTAACTTTATTGTATAAAGAATAATATGCCATAACCTACAACACTTTTTGTACTATAGAACTGTTTGTTTAGAATATAACCTAAAAATTAACTATTTATATAATCGAAATAACTCATAAAGTTTGATAAACATTGCAGGTAACACTATAAACAGGAAAAAGGTAGATAGCTTTGAGGAATCAAAAAGAATAAGTAAAGAACAAAGTGGTGGCAACACACTATTTTGTGATAGTACATTGAGTAGCACTTCAGATCATCAGTTAGGGATATCTCATACCAGTAATGCAAATATACTTACACGCAATGAAAAAATTGAAGTAAGTTAATTTTTATATCGTTTTTTTGTTTTTTGCCACCATATTCTGTTTATTACCTTATCAAAAGCTATTACATACTTATAAATAAACTATCCAATCTTTTCAAGATGTGCTGTAAACCTATGAGGGAATGCTAAGTGGACAGTAGTTTGTGATCTGGACGGAATTTCGATGTTCCTACGACCCATTTAATATTTAGATTTTGGCAAGAAACTCCGACATGTTTCAGAAATATTATAAAATGATATAGAGACATGTTGGACCTGGTGGGGTCGTATCCCACAAATTAATGAGCCCATTGTCTCCTACCTTCAAATAATAACAATAACTATGAATATTGCAATGTTTTGTATCTTGATTCCAGATAGACACAGGCTCTATCATAAATTCTAGGCACAAGGTAGAGGATTCTAATAGCCTACTTAGTTTAGTAAACAATAAAGATGTCACAAGTGTGAATCTATGTAATAATTTAATATTGAACCAAGTTCAAGCTACTGCAAGTCCTTATCAAGTTCCAGATTATGGTAATTATGTGATAAAAAATTAATATAATGCATAGTATTACAAGTTATATATACTGTGTTAATGTACTGTGTAATATTATTGAGATAAAATAGATATATTTGTTATGTGGGTACTAGTAGTACTTGTATTATAATTCCAATATGAGAGAGATTTAGTGCAATCAAAGTTTTAACTTATCCATGTTTGTTAATTTGTAAATTATAACTCCTATGGGGTGATATAACTTATTAAGGTTGAAAAAGCCCATTAAATAAAGGTAAAAAAGTAGATTAATTGAATCAATTAGAAAAAGAAAATGTATTTATGCATATAATTTCTTTCTGCTTGCTATCATCATCAACAAAACACTGAAGATCCTAATTTTTCAGGAAGTCAACACAAAGTTACAAGGGTTGATGCAAATTCTGTACCATTTTACATCCCTATGTATGTACACATATATTTCAAAATATATATTATTAATATAGCACTTTCACTGTAATATAAATTTTTGTTTTATAGAGCACCAAAATCTAAGGAAAGTGGTATTAATGTAAGTACAGTGGAACCTCACAATAACTTAAACATAAATAGCCCATTATCCTCCAAAAACCTTAAATCCAAGAATGAAATAACAATGATTGAAAATAAATCTACGGATAATAAAATAAAAATTTTATCAAATGTAAGATTTGATAATTGTTTCTCTTGCAATCCACCTACTTCGCTTCCACCTGTTTTAAAAGGCAATGCCACCTCTACACCATTCAACTATGTGAAAAGGCTTGTAATAAATGGAACACCGGGTTTCATACAGAAAAATGACTCAAATGTACACACATATTCCAAGGACGAGATAATGGCTATGCCTACAGTGATAATAGTACCTACTTCAGGTAATTTTGATACTGTTGTATTTTATATTTATTCATACTTATATTATTTTATTTAATACTATTGTTGTTAAACTAAAATTATTTTCTAGGATCAAATTATAATTCAGTTTCTGAGAGCAAAATAAGCAACGAGACGAAAATTAACATACCCGCAACCACAACAACTGTGACTGTTTCTACATGTGAACCTCTTTTTGTGGATGTTTCATCGAGTATGCCTTCTTTGACCATTGACGATGATAACAAAAAGGTACCAAACTCCAATACAAGCGAAGTGGGACTTGTAAAAACTGTTGATTCTGTACCCCACACCTCAGTTCCCAAAAATAGTACGTTTTGCAACAATCCTAGTACCCCTCATGTTTTGCCTCCTAAAAGATTATCGTCTTCTACACCTCGACGTTCTACGCACATAAGAGTTCTAGATTTTGCTACACCCACACCTAGACGGATACTAGAGAAAACAGTTCCTGAAAAAGATCCCATTGCTGATGATGCAGTAGTCGTAATAAGTGATTCACCAGTTGCATGCGAAAAAAGTTCTAATGTAAATAAGTCTGACTTAAAAATGTTAGGTAAAAACTTAGAAACTGAGTTGAAAAAAGACAAGCCAGTCAAACGTAGTTGGGATCAAGAGTTACGTGCGCTTGTTGAACAAAATCAAGACCTTTTCCCGCCGAACTCACCTAAACCGAAAATAAGGGTTAAGAAAGACAAAAAGCAGAGTCAAGGCCAAGACAAAGACCAACGAAAACTTAGCAAAAAGGATACCTCAAAGTTGAAGTCAAAGAAAAAGGGCAAGACCACTGAACAAGATTCTAAAACAGAGAAAAAAATAGACAAGCCAATTAAACCATTAATAAATATTATATCTGGAGATCAAGTTACACACAGTGAAGGTGAAAGTGAACAAATAATGAACAAACAATCTGATGAACACCAATTTGATACACCTGAGGTTGAGCGTCTATCTTTACAAAATGAAATTGGGGGCAAATTAAACATCTCAGATCTACTTGAAACGCCATACAAACAAGCAATTTACGATATCCAAATGGAAACCCCAAGATTCTTAGGCCCCGACTTACCTGGCGAGCCAGTGTCTGATATAAAAATTATGAACATACCCACTCCAAAATTTTTCGATGATCCCATACAAAACGAAGCTACACCTTCAACATACTCATCTCGCCCAACTGATTATTCTAGTGGTGGTTCTTATTACAAACCTGATGATCAAGATTATCACATACCGGAATTAAATCAGTATAGTAATAATGAAGTTAAAATCACACATAAAAAGTTGCCTCCAAGCGAAAGTACCAAAAAAAGAATCCATAGATGTCAAATTAACTCCTACTAAGTCAAAAAGACCTGTCAGAAAATGTACCAAAAATGTATTATATTATAATAATCCTAATGTTAAAAATGCAGTTAAACGTAATAATGATTCGGCCCCGGAATCTTCTTCTATTAGTAAAACACGAGAAACAAAAAAACCCGATAGACCTGCTAAGAATAAATGTATCCCCACAAAAACTGTTAAATATAGATCACCACTTAAAAGAGATTCCACCAAAACTTTCATGAAAATTAAGCCTCGACGAGTAACACCAGTGAAAGATGCATTGAAAAATAGAAAAATCCAATCAGATTGTAATCAGAGTGGGAGAAAGAAAATTCTTAATCATATATCACCGGTAGGAGTGTCTGTTCCTACGAAATCGCGAAGGAAGTCATCTACGCCTCGAAAATTACACTGTAGTAAAATAATTCATTCGTCCACGTCAAGTAACACATCTCCTGACATCCCAGAAAAAATAACATCGACTGTAAGTAAATGTGAAAAAATAACATGCGATTCAGAGAATAATCAAGTGAGATTGCGCTGGTCTGTTGATGGGTCATATGATCTTAAACAAAATGACAGTGAAAATCTCGTTAAAGAAAGTGATGACAGCATAAGTAAAATTAAGGAATATATCGACTCCGTTAAAGCTAAAAAAGATAACGTCAGAAGTATATGTAGGTTCTACTAGAAGTTTTCATAATGATTTAGTTAAAAGGGGATTAGATGTGGAGACTGCACGAATTATTGAAAGAGATTTATTGGATACACCTCCACTGCAAGATACAGTGGTTCAATCTACAAGTAATGAAATGATTGAAGAAACTATAGTTGAAAGAGTTGCCAATCCAGATTTGAAAAATTATCAGAATAATACGTCAGACAGACCAAAAGATCAAAACCTGGACGATAATAAGGATAACGATAGTACAGAAGATTTTGAGGATGATGACGATGATGTAGTGTTTAGTGTTCAGGAAAGCAATGAAGATACGGGGAACTATTTTGTTTGTGACTTTAATGAAACTTTATTTAAACCGAAGGATATTGTTCCCTTGAAAGATAAATTTTGCATGGAAGTATGTATCGATGATGGAGTATCTTTGAGGCTTAGATCTACAGCACTTAAAGAACTGTTTCAGCTTAACGAATCGGAGGCGCAATATGATAGGAAAGAGATAGACTCCGCTGTCTCATCAATTTCAAATATTGACAAATTATATACACCTATTAAAGATCACAGAGCTCAATGCTACGAAATATTTGATTCTACTTTAACCAGTCTTGACACTCCCTTAAAAGAAACAAGTCCTAAAATCCAAGAGAAGGAAATGTCGGTAGTGTTAGAGGTAGAAAATTTGAGCAATAAACCAGATACTAAGAAGAGAAAAAGGGTACAGAGTGGAGCTTCTGATGAAGGTAGCATTAAAAAGTCTAAAAAAGATGAATATTTACTTCACCCAGCGAACATACAAAATATAGACATAGAATCTGTATTGAGTAAATTACACGGTTCATAGTATATACAATACCTCAGATTATAAGTGTACATTAAACATTTTGTTTATTTTAAATCATTTTTAGCGTTGGCTCAAATATCTGTTGACTAAACAATATTAAGGACATCCAGTATTACATTTTTTCAATAAACCCTCGCAGCGGTGCTGAAGCAGTGGTACTTATGTATATATAAGATTATATGTATGAATTATGATTGTAACTATGTACTTTGTTGTAGTTTGAATAAAGTACATACATATGTTTCTAAAACAGTCATTTCATTTTGAACCTTTTTTCTATTAATAATATATTTGTTTTTATGTCGTTTAACGGTACTTTTCAAAGTATTGTACACCATATACGCCGTTTGCCACATTTGCCGTTTTCGATTTTCCGTTTTAAGAGAGAATGCATTACTTTAGTCTTAAACTATTGTTGCCGTTTCAAAGTATTTCATATTGTTTAAAGGCTACAAAAACAAATGTTTGTTTTATCTACTCATTAATAAGGAATCAATTTTCACCCATGCCAAAACATGTTTAAATACATTTTTGAATAATGTTAGACTTCAAAAACATGACAAGGACAACAATCACTCACCACCCTTACCATACAGTCACGTTACGCTACCAATTAAGCTACAATACTTGAAAACTATAATGCACGTAATTATTATACCACCGCGTATTCGTAGTCGACACCGGTGAAAGTTAAAAACGTTTACAAACCAGAGATTCGTTCGGGTGTCCTCATTAGAATAATTATTTCTACGTCCGAATGCGTCTAATTTGCCGTTGGGATTTGATAGTAAGCTCGCATGCGATTATTACGATATTACGTTTAATTAGATCTCGCAATTAGAGGCGATCGTGACACTGCCGTAGCGAACCGTTCATTACCCATGCTAATTTGAACTGCTACCGCGCACATTCGATAATCTCGGGGAAAAATCGCCACTTAATGGGGTTTCAACCGAAACGCATGCGACGTGTTTGTACATTGTCTGCTCGCTCAAACGGTTAATAATAGCTATGTTTGATATACAAACATTTTATGCTATGGAAAACGGGGTTTTCAAAGATCTACTTACCTTTATTACACAAAGAATAAATCGTTTATTTTAAAGTTCCTAAATTCTAATTTATAATTTAATTCTAATACAAATCATTTGTTCATGTCAATACAGATAAATATATTTAAGAAATATAATAGTTAATTACGTAGATAAGATTTATATTGGAAAAGTATTTAAGTTTCATTAAATTGATAATTCAGGGCGGGGATACGGGTATGTTATTCTTAATGTTTCTACGAATTTTTATTCATATAGATTTTTAAATATGTTCTAGTATAATGTTATCACTCTTCCAATCCGGTTGGTCACCGTGGATTTTGATCATAACTTTTCAAAGACTAAAAACTCAAACTCAAAGTGTATCTTAAAAACCTCAAAAAACAAAGAAAACCACATACTAATTTAATAATTATAACATACAATGTCAGAACCTTATCATCATACGACGTCTACTAGAACTGGACGAATGTTTAACTAAAATAAATTACGACGTACTAGGAATTTCAGAAGTTGGACGACTGGGAAACAATATAAAGACCGAGAAAAATGGGCATCTTTGCAGGCCTATACCCGAACAGGGGTTATTGCTGATTTATAAGTTTTTTTTAAAGTTTCATATACATATACCTACTTCAATTACAAACATATTCTAAGCTTAGCTACTAACAAATACAAAATCTGTTTAATGTTATATATCAACAAATAATGTAAAAAGCAAGAAATAAAATTCTTATTATTATTATAATGTTATGAAGTTTTATATTTTCTGTGAACATAGCTTTTATAAATAGTGCGTTATTCTGGTCGGCTGCTATTCGCACAAATAAGGCCAATAGCATTTTATAAGAAGCAAAGTACGCTATTAAGTTTGCGGAGAAATGACATAACCTAGACCAAAATATACAGCAGTGTCGACGGGGTAGGGGTGTTCGCGAAGTGGGTCACGGATGCAAGCTCCTGACACAAATAGCTACATCGTATCTCGCCACGTGGCCTCATATTCTCTGCAGGGAGGCTGCGAGTTCATGTCGACTGTCGATATTCACTTTAATTACTCGCCCCTTAATTTGCGTAGTTTTGTGAAGAATACCCGCGAGGTAACGATCGTGATTTTAATAAATGTATCTACTTTTAGCCGTATTTTTCAATAGTGACCGATAGTTATTAGGATTTGTGTACGCATAAAAGTTTTAACAAACTTGACGCTTTTAACACACTTGACGCTTTTAACGCTCACTAACACATTTAAAAAGAAAATTTACACATGTGTCAAGTGTGGGTAGTTTTTAATCTTAATTTTAAATTCTTCTATAGATAAAAGTAGTCGGACCGGTTGTTTGTTATATGAGTTTTCTATATGCACACAAATGAATGTTTGTAGAGTTTATATTATTCGTTGTATCTAAATAGCATATTGAGGTAGGGGCTCACAGTGATATCCAGTTTATGTCGTTATACCTGGCGTGCAGTGTACGTCGCCGAGTATTACTGTGAATTTAGTAGCACTAATTCTACAGGCAGTTCAGTATATAAATGATTCCGGGTGATTTTACACCACCTTAGCCTCCCCCCTAATGTCTAACCCACCTCCGTCTCACAAAGTGCAACGACGACGTCGTTCCGGACAATCTGCGTGCTTTGCTTATTTTCAACCCTAATTCCTTCGCCGGAAATTGTCTTTATACAGAACTCCGTCGCACAAAAACGCTTTGTTGTGCAATATTTTTTGTTTGTAAAATTCAGCAGTTCTTGAAAAGATTTTTCACAACCTAATATATTATTTGTTCATAAATTGTTGTTTTAATTATAAAATATAAATTCAACGCAATGATTTTAATAAGATTATGATATTACTAAGTCCAAGGTTAAATGATGATCTTAATATCGTTTATTTTTCTCGTACTGTCACCATCTAGAGGCGGGCTCGAAGCCAACTGGGTCGAGCTTTCTGTAACTTTTAGCTATCTGTTAGCTTAGTACCTGCACTACACAAAACCAATCTAATATTTACGTTGTATTTTAGATGCTGATGTGTTTTGCTTTTGTTTTGTGTGTTAGATAATAGATGATACTCTGATGATCTGAATTGGATAAAGGCCTAATAGTGAGTACCAAGTATTACCTTAAGTGTGTCAATTGGTGGCTCGATGTGCGTGGCTCCCTACTCCCCGTATGGGGGGTTGAGCGTGGGGCAGGTCGCTGGATCGATACCCGACGTCTGGCCCTCAACCTCGCCTTTCTTACCACCTTCCTAAATACTAATTACGTGCTTTGACACAGCGTGTGGGGCTCATACCAAATGAAAAGAACTATGGATGCCAGCGATACTGTAATTAACTTTACCACATCGAACTTTCTTTTTAGTATTGAAGCTAAGAAAATCAAAATATCACAAAGCAGTAAGGAACTTGAGAAGTTAAAAATCTTCCAAGTTAATTTATACCTTTAAAATGTATTTTAATTCAAATCGTATTTTTTTAACATAACCTATTACGAGCATGTGACTTTGAGAAACGCACGTTAAAAAAGCCTGTCACTGTCAGAAAGCGGAAGAGGCCCAAAATGGAAGATTGCCAACATGGTCGGTTTGCCAGAACTTATCGCAGACCTAAGGTGTACTCTGCAGGATGTATATGTTTTAGTGATATATTTGTCTTAAATTTTTTGAAGGTTTGCCTGCAATTTTTTTTTTAAACATGATAAACATTGAAAATTGAATAAAGACGATGTTTTTCAAAGTGGCGACAAAATATTAGTCACGAACGCGTAAAGCAAATGGTAGATTTCGTTCTCCATCGCTTTTTGAGGTTATACTGCAGCTTTTCTAAGCCGGATAATATAGAGGAAACAAGATTAAAAATGTATTCCCTGCACGTGGGCCATAATGCGATTTATCGGTGCACGGGTACATCGTGACTGCATTGTGCTTCTAGATAGTTCGACCGAATGTATCATTTTGTATGTGAAAGCTCTACATGTCAAACTATATAACGGGCTTAATAATCTAACGGCGTTCGAATTTATAAAGGCACTAACTCATTACAGCAGGCGGTGTGGTTTCGTCCAGAAACTCGATGCATCTTCGGGTGTGGGCGTCGGGCGAGACCCCCCCTCACTTTCGGCACTCGCCCGCGGGTGGAGGGGTGGTAATGGACGCACGAGGCTCCTCGGCCCTGTGCCGTGCACCGTCGCTCTTTATGTCGGCTTGCACGCGTGCACTTGCTAGTTTCTTTGACGTCCCTTTGTTGTGGATTCCAATTTCGGAACGTATAGCGATTGGATTCTAGATTACTTCGCTGCCAAGACTATTGGCTTACCTTAAGCTGTATTGATTTCGCTTCGCTCTAATACTGGATTGGTAAAGCTTTTGTTTGATCGTCTATGGTTTCGATTGATTATTATCAAATTTTTCTACTTGATTCAATGTTTTATTCTATCATCTTTGTCTCATAGATTGTTCTAGTTTTTTTTAACAAATGACTAATTGGAATCATTAATTTCCTTATCGTGTTTAGTACTTACTCTGATTATAGAGTGAGCATTCTTGACTTTTCTCGAGTATGCATTTCGCGGCGCGTCTAATCATGCAAATTTCCTAAGGCGGGGTGGGTAGGAACGGGTGGCACTATCCATAACTGTAACTGAAACTTGTAACATCACCCTCGAAGGTCGTTCAAAAGTTCTCTACTCGAATGAATCTGCTGCAGTGGAACACTTTCATTAGCTTTGTTCAGTTAATGCTCCTTTAACTTGCATTCCAAATTTAAAACATCTGTGGAAATACTTATATAATGCGTATGACCTTATAAATTCACACGTCACAGTGTAATTGTAAATTCACGCATAAATAAAGTAGAAATGTGCATAGTTTTTGTAACTCAATATGTACCTAATAAATACGAATGTTACGAGCGTCCGTTAACTAAAAATTAACGTATGTAATCACTAATGAACAAGAAAATATGATTAGTGAAATGATCGTTAACAAGATGGGCGTGAAAGGGCGTTCTGGCCGGGTGCACTATCGATCTCCGTTGAATTAGTGTGCGGATCGGTCGACGTCTTTGTGCAGCTCGTCGTAGGGCCAAACAGACCAAAACAAGTCAGCCACCCCAGTCGGCCCACTCCCGCGCGCCGCCTGTCGTTCAAGCCTTCATTTATGGTTTAGTGCCTCGATGCTTTTAAATTTCGCACTGTGGTGACGAAAATCGTGTACTCGCGTGCACCTACTTGTACATATGTTGCGAAACGTGACTAAGCCGCAGGTTTGTGGTGCGCCGTTTTGATTTATTACTTTCGGACTTTTACATAAGCTTCCCGTAATTGTGTACCTAGAGGCACTTTGCGTTCAAATTTATAAGTACTTGTCCGTTTTACAAATTCAGGACAGAATTTCATGAATAGTATGAAAATCATATTGTAACCGAAATTTCGTAATTGAATAACATGCTTCACTGAATTGAATATAAATGTCGCAATTAATCCCTCAGCATAGTGAGCCATTCAAGATTTTTAATGGAAGTAACAAAATACTTAATGAATTTTTGTGTTGTTTTTGTGATTACACAGTACTTATATTTGCTCCAGAATAGAACTCTATTTATTTTGTTTGCGAGAATGAATAGTATTTAACTAAAGAACCAACTCGTTTGGGGCAGGAATACTAATTATAATACCAAATATACAGGGTTGAATAATATTTAATGAAATTATAATGAGCGTAGAGGATCTAATTGGAGCGTCACACAAAGGAAGGAGTCAAGTCGCATAGCGTCCATCTATTGAATTAGTAAAGTCTGTCAAAGTGCATTGGCGAGTCACAAAGGTCGTTGCGTGGGAACGGAGGGGGGAAGCGGTCGGTGTAGCCACCCTCCTCCTTTTCCCGTGGGTTTGAAGTAAGCTAGAGCTCCAGAAATTTGTTATGACGCACTCGTTTTGTCTATAGTTTGCTGCAAGCGAAGTAGATGGCTAGGTATTTGCGAGCGTTATAATAAAATTTTATGAAGACATTGATGTAGGTAGATCGTTGTAAAGAATTGTATGCCACTGGAAACTTTTATTTCAATAGTTTTGGAAGTAAGAGCGTGCTTGGTATAAGACTTACATAATGGATGCCTTCGCTTATTTCCATATAAAAAACATAAGAACTTAATTTTACTTGTAAATCCACATGATATTTTTTTATCTTCTTTTTTATTAAAAATATTGTAGATATTCAAATATTCTTAAAATGTATATTAACATAAATATTATAATGGCGTGTGTCTGAAATGAATTATGGTTATTGATTTCGATATCGCGGTTGTAGGAAAATGAAAAACCAGGTTATTTCCAAAGCTCGTTGCGTGAGAACCTAGAGTGACGCATGCACTAAGTCTAGACTATATTATTATGAGTGGTGTCGTGCCTCATTGCACCCCGCAGCTGTTACTCGTTAAATACATTAACATAAAACCTTAATTAATTGCTCGTCACTCCGTATTAATAGTGCGTCGGTTTGCGTTTAACTTTATATGGAGTTGTAAGTGCATGTGTTTGTTATTTATCAATCAATTGATCGACTGCAAAGTATGAGATAAAAACGCGCCCGTTTAATGTTTATGTATGTATCTACCATCTATGGTGGTCAGTTTCTCACAACGCTTCAGTACTTAAGATTTACCAATTTGCATTGTCTTGGAACGATTTATAAGCAAACTTAGAAACCTCAATAGTCCCTTAAATATATCGAAGTCCGCATACAAAATTCTAATTTTTACTTAGTAGCGTACAGTATGTACAAGAAAGTGTTCAGTTTGGTAAATAATAATGCACTACGTACTTATTACATTAACTAATTATTCGTAGAATCTGTGATTATTAATATTTAATAGGGCGGTCGTACCCTATTTGGTTGTTTTTTAAGTTCAGAGAATTGTATTATCTTTATGTATATAAATATGTATTTTCTTTCTTGGGTAGATTTAATTTTGAACAGAACAAGATATAATTAAAGTTATATAGTCTTCACGGTAGAGAATTAATCGTAGTCACAAATGAAATAGTTGTTTCGTAACAATCAGATAGTGCGGTACAGACTCTACGAAATAGTTCGTTGACTTCGCTTTAATTTAGCACCTATCCTGTCGGTGTACGTAACGTCGTCTGCTTAGTATTGTTCAGTTGACAGGGCAATGACGTCGGCTGGTGCAACGGTTCGTCTGCCACCCCCACCCTGGCCGACGGTCGACGCTCTCTAAAACGAAAAAGGAAGCCACAGAATAATCTATCACACCCGAGGCTCGGCCTGATAAAAATGAACGATTGAAACTGAATAATCGATAATTTCGAAATTTTGTTCTTGCCAAATCCGCTCTTAAAACCACACTGGACGCAAAGATTTTCACCGTGATTAAACGAAACAAGTTTTCATGTATATTTTATTGATGACTAGAGAGTTGGTTATCGTGGTTTAATATAATTGATAATGTGCAAAAACTAAATCGAAACTATTACATTTTTGTTATTTAATGCTCTGATTAATTAAATAATATAATTCTTGTTAATGTTACAGCAGTGTGAATTCGGCTAGACAACTAAATATTTGAAAACGTTTTTGATAAGATAAGATAAGATCACACAAATAATGATATTAAATTTTTGTTAGTTTTTCTCTGTCACCGCTGTGTTTTTCAAGTGACTTGCATAAAACGTCCCGATATCAACTGCCACTGTCTAAATTGTTTCCTTATATATCTAATAACGTCTAATTAAACATAGTTTAACACTCAACTTTTTCAATCGTCTTCCCCAGTTTCCATATTACCCTAATATAGAGGTAATTACTGGACTACGATATAGATTATAGTAATTATCTCCTACGTGGCGCATTTGTCCTTGTAATTACGGTAACTTTTTACAATGTTCCCTCATTATTACGGCGGTCGTAATTATTTAAAAAAATTACTGACGTCATGCGTTGCTTAGCCCGTCGTCCGGATAAAGGGTAAACAAGTTAATTTATTAAGCACTATTCATATATCAACTGTAACAATAATGACTATAAGATAATGTTAATTAATAATACAAAAATGATAATAGCTTACACCTGCGCATCTTTTGGAACTTAATGACTATAACTGTTATATTATAGTAACTTGCTCTAACTGAGTGATAACAAAAAAAAATAAAAAGCTTTTTCTAACGATTAAAAAATAGATGTCACAGAACCTGAACCGGCGATCGCGTATCAATTAAATATATATCTTTTTTTGTGTTATTTAAAAAAAAAACATTTACCTATTTTCAATTTCCATGAAAAATATATGCAACTACTTAAAACACTAAGTTTTATAATTAATATAACTTCTTAGACATTATGTAGAAACAGGCCTTTACGTGTTAACAAAGGGCGGTGAACTAAGTTCAAATGTGTGCATACAAATTTGGCGACGGCTAGAGTTCAATGACCGGACGTAGACTACGCGCTACGCATCTACGCCGTAGCATGGTTAATTCGTAATTAATTAGATTCAGTTAAAACGCCTGCGTGTGAATTATTGTCCGCTTTTGGTATTGGTGTTCATTATTGTGCGAAATAATCGTATTTCATTACTGTCCTACTTAAAAACGTGTTGAAGATGAATATATTAAACTAGCTGGGTCACTGACTTCGTCCGTGTAAAATAGTAATTTCGGGCATCAAAATTTGTTTTTGTAGACCATTTTCATTTTAATAGATTTAAGCTGTTGTTCATGACTTCAGCCGCGTAGATAGAGATATACTGTCGCGGAGATATTTTTTAGATCATTTGAAGAGCAATCACTCTCAAACGTATTTTTCTACCGTATCTTGAACCGTTTTCGCTGTGTACCCAACGGACACCCACAAAGATGAATATCATATGATAGCCTATAGCTTTCCTCGATAAACGTTTTTACCAACCCAAAAATATTTTTTCAATTTCCACCAGTAGTTCCTGAGATTCGCGTATTCATACAAACAAACTCTTCAGCCTTATAAATTAGTATAGATTAGGAATTTAAAAAGCGCGTTTTCTACTTATCATTTTCTACAAATAAATCCCACATACCATTTTCAATCATAAAGCTACGTTAGGTTTTTTGTTATTCTTAAAATTTTATCGGGTTTAAACGCGGTAAGTATTGTCATGGAATTTTCACTAGTGTACTTGTATAAAAAAGTTCCTAAACTGTAAAGATATCACACATAAAATCTAAGTATAA